GTGTTTTCTGGCAAAACCCATTGCTTAATCAACTTCATTTCTTTCCACGCTCCCTCTCCCCACCTTGGTTCCAGATACCAGGCCCTCCTCACTATTGCTCAAACACAGCCAGCCTCGAAGCCTTTGCACGTGCTGTGCCCCATGCTAGGATCATTGTTTGTCCAGCTGTCTGCAAGGTGCCCTCCCTCCCATTCAGGCCCTAATCAAATGTCACCTCCTCAGAGGCCTTCCCTGACCTCACACTATGTAACATGCTCTCCCTATCCCTCTTACCCTGCCTTATTTTCACCTTAGCCCTGACCCTGCCATTTGATGTTTCTTGTCCATTCTCTTAGAATGGGCGCTTCACGAATCGCTAATGCAGGCTGGGAGTCGTGTGTTGTGACTGCAGCTAAGAGGCTTTAGCAAGTAGCTTCCTCGACCAGGGCTTGCAGCCAAATCACTTGTTCTTTCGTTCTGACTCAGCCACATCCTAGCTAGCTGTGTGGTCTTGGATAAGCGACCTAACATCTTTGTGTCTCAGTCTCCTTCTCTGCAAAATAGGGATAGTGGGTGTGCTAATCTCAGCTGCAAGAATGAGCTGTTGGCACGTCTCTGGTAAGTAAATGCTAGCTCTTATGAGCGTTTATGCCCGGTGTCCTAGCTGAGTTAGATACCCAGAGCAGTCACTGGTTTTCTGTAAGGGGCAATCCCTTCTCTGGCTGAGACAGGGCCTGGGTCCCCCACGCTTTCCCCTCCCGGCCCCCTCTCACAGGCTGAGGGGGCAGCCGGCGCTGGTCTGCAGCAGGTAGGCCTTGGCGTTCTGCACCGCCAGCTGCCGAGGCTCGGGCTCCGGCACCTCTGCACCGTAGGGCGGCAAGCCCAGCTCAGAGGGTGTGAACTGCAGGGCGGGGTCGTCCCTTATGTAGGGCCCGGGCTGGCTGCCTTCATACAACTGCTGGGGATCTCTCTGGTAGAACTGGTCCAAGAGGTTGGACCGGGGGTCCTGGTAGACAGACTCCAGGCGCTGTAAGAGGTTGCCTTGGTCCCGCTGTAGCTGCTGCAGTATTAGGTTGGTTTGGTCGGCGCCCTGGATCCGGCTTTCGTCCAGATAAGGCAGGGTCTGGAACTCCGGGGGGAAGCCCAAGTTCATGGATGGGTACTCCATGTCGCCCACCCGGGCTGCTTCAGGCGGGAACATCGGCATGCTCTCCTGTTGGGGTAGGCCGCCCCACTGTGACCAGCCCGGAACACTGGCCTGGCTCATCATGGGACCCTGACCGTAAGGCATCTGAGGCATCTCCTCCTCGGGGACTCCTGCCGGGTACTGAATTTGGTCCAGGCTAGGCTCGGAAACCTGGGAACTCCTTCGAGTTCCGGGCTCCTGGGAAGGGGGCTCAGGGTAGGGCGGTGGGTCCCCCATGGTTCGAAAGGGGGCGCGGACTTCTGGCAGGAAGGCTTGCAGACAGCCACACGCCCAACAGCCGCAGCGCTAGCGCAGCCGGTTTCCAAGGACCGCGGAGGGGCGGGCCGTTACCAGGGGCGGCGCGCGGGGACGCTGGGCCGGGGGCAGTCTCGGCGCAGGCGCAGTCCCGCGCCCGAGAGCTTGCAGCCGGCTCCTGGGCGCGCTCTCTGCGGATCCCGATCCCGCGCAGCCCACGGCGGACGCGGCGGCAGAGGCGACTCGGCACTCACGCCCTAGACCCACCATCTCTTTAATTTTCTTTAAGGCAAAGCACCCGCTGGTCAAGCCCCACCGCATCCCCCACCTGCAGCTCCCACCCCACTCCCCTTCCCCGCCAAGCCCCGTCAGCTGTTCCCCTTGGTCTCGGCGTCCCCCGCTTCCTCGGCCGCTGGGCTGGGGGTCTTCACGGCGTCTTCTCCGGCAGGGGCGAGGGTCTGGGGGCTCCGCTCTTCCTTTGAGGTCAACCCGCCCGCCGCTGCCTCCTGTGACAGAAGGAAAGGGGCGTCGGGTCAGAGGGCGTGGCCCCACCCAGCCGCGCCCCCCAGTCTTTTCACCCGGGGCTGGAGGGTCTCCCCCTGCGGCGCTGAGCCTGTCGTCCCTACCTTAGGCAGGGGCCCGTCCAGGCTGGAGTCCAGCAGCGCGGCCTCGGTCAGCCCCGAGTCGTCATCCATGCTGATGAAGATGGCCGGGGTCTCGCACTCCGGCCCCTCCTCCCGGAAATCCATGGCTTCCTCCGACGCGGGGGGGCCGGGCCGGGCCGAGGAAGAGGAGGGAGACACGGAGGAAGTGGAGGGGGCTCCCACTGCTCCAGGCTTCAGCTTCTGTTCCTCCTCCAGCTGCCGCTTTAAGGCCTTTTCCTGGGCCAGCCGCAGGCCGATGAGGTCCTGAGGGGGCCGGGGCGCTGGGGCCGGTGCCAGGGCCAGGGGCTCCAGGTCGTCCTGGGGGCAGGGAGGGCACACAGCAGCTCAGGGAGGGGTGCTCTCAGAGGATGGCGGTGGAGAAGAGACAGACCACTCTGAGGCAGAAAGCTGGGGGCAGCATAAGGGACAGCAGCTCTTACTGTGGGCACTAGGAGGAGGGGGCGGCTGTCCCCCCTCCCCACTCCCTTTCAGCAGGAGCAAGTTCAGAGACAGGTGGCTCAGAGGCAGGTGGCTGGGGTCAGGAGGAGGATGTGGGGGGGCCTTGCTGGCTTGGGGTGTGAGGGTGGGGGGCTGGGGAATCCAGATGGGTGGGCTGCAAGGGCCCTCACCTCTTCCAGGGGCCCGGCAGGTGCCTCCTTGGCCTCCGGCTCCTGCTTGCTGCTGGCCTCCAAGATGGTCATGATGGAGTTGGGGATGTGTGCTTGCTAGGTGAAGAGCAGCAAGGGGGTGCTGGGGACAGCTCTGGCCAGGAGACCCCTCTTGGACACCCCAGATCCTGGGTCCCTGACCCTCCAGAGCCTTCCATGGTAGTGCAGGGTTCCCCTCTGCCTGCCCCCCATCCAAGTCCCCAGGGGCCATCCTCCCCACACCCTGGGGTACCTGGTGGGGGGTGAAGGAGCGGACGTGGGCCAGCAGGGGTTCGCGGAGCTCGGGGCACTTGTCAAAGACGGCTCCCAGCTGCTGGGGTGGCAGCTGCAGGATGACCTGGAAGCTCTGGGGCTTGGTGCGTTGGCAGCACTTGATGAAGCCCTCCCACACCTTGGGATACTTCCACACCTGGACCGGGCAGGGAGGCAGCGGTCGGGAGGGGGCACATGGGCAGTCACCTTGCCAGGATGTGCCCAAATCCCACCATCCAACATTCCCCTGGCTACGTACAGCCCTGACCTCCCTCTGGAAGACAGACTGTCTTCCCGATCCAGGGCGCTGGAACATGAAGGCCACTTGGGAGAGCCACCCTTTCCCAGAGTTCTCCCTGGGCCAGCCCAGGCTCAGTGCTGTGGGAGGGAGCACCGTCTCCGTCTTCATGCCAGCCTCCCGAGAAACAGATGAGGCCCGGGGAGGTGTGGAGACTTGGGCAGGGTCACACAAGGACAAAGGGGCACATTTCAACCCAGGTCTGTCTAAGTCCACTTTTAACATCTAAGCTGGATGTTGCGAAGTGGCTGCCTGTTGGCTGAATCCAGTCTGGGGTTTGCAGATGGGCTTTGCTTTTTGTTTCATCAAGGTATTTCTGAAAGCTCAAATTTCTAACATCTCTTAAAGAAACTGGACCCTCTTTCAGCTCCAGGATGCATCCTGGCTCGGTGCAGTGGTGGGGGATGAGGGGCAGCCACAGCCCTCCCGGGGTGCGCACCCCCTGAAGTCTACCTCTGTCTGTGCTGCCCAACTGCCCTCCCTCATCACCCTGTAGCTGGCCAGATTAGAGACCCTGGAGCACTGTATTTTCCTGGCGGGAGGCAGGGCACAGGGTCACAGTCGAGCCTGCTCCCGGCCTGGCTCGCTCTGTGGGGGAGGACGGAGAAGAGGGGGACAGGCAGGCAAGGAGCCCTCTGGTTCCACCTCAAGCCACCCTTCAGTGGGCCCTGCTGCCATCAGCTGCTGGGGTGGGTTACCTGCTTCATGATGAGACGGGAAAGGATGTTCATGACGAAGCCCCCCAGGCGGGGGTACATGGTCAGGGACTGGATGACGGTCCTCATGAGCAGCATGGGCAGGGGGCTCTGCTCCATCAGCTGCTGCATCACCACGGCCAGCACCTCCGACGTGTACACGTTCCGCTCCGCAAAGCACAGGTTGGTGGCTGCGAGGAGGCGGAGAGCGCGCCTGTCCTCTTTGCCCAGGTGGCCCGGGAGGCGGAAGCCCCCCCACCCTTCGAAAGCCTAAGCCCTGCCGTCTGTCCGTGCGAGGGGAGAGGCAGCCCTGGCTTCCTGAAGCCCCCAGGGAGACAGGAAGCCTCCGCCACCCAGCAGAAGGCCCCTTCCCCGGGCGCACTGTGGCCCGACCCTTGGAAAACCTGCAGGCCTGACCCAAGGGCGGAGACTCGACCAACTCCTGGAAGCCCCACCCTGGGCGGATGGGGAGACCTTGTCCCCTTCTCTTTGAGGACAATCCTGGGAAAGACTGAGGCAGGAAAGACGTGTTGCCAACCCGTGGGGACCCACTCTGGCTTGACGGGGTGCAGGGGGAGGGGGCGACACCCCCACCCCTGCTGGAGAGGGAAGGCAGCTACTGATATGTCAGCCCTCCCAGAGAGGACAGGAGAGGCCCATGGGCCAGCTCCACCAGAAGACTGGCCAAAGGACTGCCCCCAACCCTGCCCAGGACACTGGGCTTGTGCTGGTGCTGGGATGCCGGGGCCACCAGACCTAGGTTGTGTGGAGGATACAGGGACATAGTCAGTAGAGTAATAGGGAGGGAGGGACAAGAGGATAGGACATGGGCATACAATGAGACCCCCAGCTCAACACCCAGTGCCAGAAGGACCCAGAGGGCTGGTACAACATGAGCACCTATGAAGGCAGGCCTTGGGGCCTCTTCCCTGAGTGGGTGGCAGTGCCCCAAGTCATTGTGCTAACGGGGAGACCCCAGGAGCTGCTGCTGCCCTTCTTCCCCAAACACCACTTGCCATGTGAGTCTGTCAACCAGGAAGTCTTTATTGAGCTAGAAGAGAGGCCCCCCCATCCCTGGAGGCTAATGGAGAACAGGGGTGGGGCTCGAAGGGGGAGGACGCCAGCGTTACAGGAGGACAGGCAGGAAGGAGGCTGAGTGGGCAGAGACAGTGGAGGAGGCAAGGCCCTGTCAGAAATCGAAGCAGCACCCCCACTCTGTCCCCCATGGCCAGGCCGTCACTGGGTCCTGTCTGCTCTATTCCCCAAAGGCCTCTGGAATCGACCCTTCCCTTCCCTCCCCTCCCCATCAGTCCTGCCCCAGCCTCCTCCTGGGCCTCCCGCCCAGCCTCTCACCCACTCTCCATACAGCAGCTTGAGGGGTTCTCTGGAAAGCTCTAACCTGATTCCATCCCTCCCAGAGGCTCTCAAGAGATCAAGGCCAAATTCCCTGGCTGTGAGCCCCCCTGTGGGTGGGCCCTGGGCATCGTTTCCTCAGTGGTTACAGCCTGACCAGGCCTCCCCCAACTGCTCAGCTCTATTCTTCCCTTCCCTGCTACTGTCTCCCCACTGCTACCTCGCTCCCAACTCATCTTCACCTGGTCTCAGCTCTCTCCCTCAGGAAGCCCTCCCTGTGACCCAGCCGGGGTTGCCCGCCCCAGCCCTGCCCTGAGTCGCCCCAGCCCTGCCGAGTCGTTCCTGTGCAGGGACCTCGGGTCTCCCGCTCTCGACTGTGAGCCCTGGGAGAGCAGGGCTGAGGCCGTCCCACTGTGTCCCCAGCACCACCCAGGATGTGGCTGAGAAGCAGTGCTCAAGGAGTTTCCTTAATTGCTGGGACAGACCCCTGAGGGTGGATCTAGTTACAGAAAGCCAGCCAGAGACAGAGGATGGTTTATGGGCAGAGCACGTGCCGGGAACGACAGCTTACACTCTCGGGCACTCGGAGTCCAACTGTGCACAAAAAAGGGCTGGACGTTTGGATCTGGAGCTTATCGCAGGGTTGCTCATGCGACCAGGAAGACCACTGGTGCCCAAGCAGGAGAGAAACGTGCTCTGGGAACTAGCTGGATTGGGAGGTGGGGACAGCTGGTGGGAGACCACGTGGCAGGCTGCCAAAAGCCCTGTAGGAATGGAAGCTGTGTCCAGGCCTGGGCGAGCCAGAAGAAAACTGGGGGTCAAAAAAGTAGGCCCTGCTGCCCCCTGCAGAGCCCTGGCTACTGGCCACGCGTGTGACCTGTGGCAAGGCTCCTTCTCTCCCTGGGCCTGGGTTCGCCCACCTGACACCACAGGCCTGGGCTGCAGAGGTCTCTAGTCGGGGTCCACGAATGGCCTGAGCGGGGGTGCTGGCGCCAAGTGAATCCCCTCAAATTATACACAAGCCACGTGAGCACACGGTCCTTGGGAATGGGCCAGAACTTTCCTCAGGTCACCAAAGGGGTCAGGGAGTGCAAAGGCCACACTCCTGGACTATGACCTTCGAGATCCTTTCCTCCCTACTCTTCTCCCGCTAGAGGCCTTAGTGCCTGCTCAGTTTTAATGTGAGTTTGTATGTTCATTAAGCTCCTCTCTTAACCTTAAAAGTTTCTCAGAGAACCTGCTGAGGAAGACAGGAAATGAGTCACTGAAGAAGCTACTTCAAGCTGCAACATGAAACTAAGTGGCACAAAGAGGAAGCACCCTCCCTCCTCCGAAGGTGAGAAGAGTAATCAAAGGACAGTTGTCTTCTGAGCAGAGAGGGTGACAGTCTGGCCCTCCATTTCTGTGGGACAGGACAGCTCCTGGCCCAGAAACCTCCCAGGGCAGGATCAGAGGGGAGCTCTTGGGGCAGGTGGACCTCAGACCAGGGAACTGGTAGGGCTGGGATTTGAACTTGGGTCCACTGTACTTCCGATTCTGTGTTTTTTCCACTACACGACTTAGCTTGTGTGTAGCCCCGAGCAAGTTAGTTAACCTCTCTGGAACCTCCATTTCCTTGTCTACAAACTGGAAGCCACATACTTACCAGGGAAGCGTAGGAGGACTGGCAAGAGCATGTAGGGAGAGCCTGGCTCATGAGTGCTCATGAGTAGTGACCACTGTGAGCTGGCCAGTTTGTCACCAACTTCCCTGCCATGGAGGCAGGCCCTCCTGCCTCAGCTTGGGCTTGGCATCTACCCCGGTCCAGCAAGTGCCCTGTGCACTAGCCTGCTCTGCCGCTGTGCCTGTGGCCACCGCTCCCTGCACACTCTGCCTCCTGCCTCTCCTCGGGCCAGGGCAGGAGGTGGCTCCCCCTCACTTCTTTAAGACCAGTCTGTGCCAACGTACAGTAAGTACATGAGTGACATGAGTGCCTTAGACAGAGGCAGAAAAGCGCAGGGCTGTAAAAGGCAAGATCTGGGAGGGCGGACGGTGGAAGAGGAGAAAGGGAGGAAAGGAATGAGGGTGGGTCTCCGGAGCTCTGGGGTAGGGCTGTGGGTGGCACAATCTTCAACTTGGCAGATTCCAGAGGGGGCATGTGGGTGACGGAGGTTCTGCCCCCTGGTCCGCAGGGGCCAGGCCACTGAAGAGGGGGGAGCACCTCACCTTTGATGATGGACTTCATGTCACACTTCACCGAGTCAATGTTGTGCAATGCGATCAGCAGCTCTCCAGGGTTCAGGGGGGACAAGGCCGAGTTCCCTTCACCTGCAGTAGGTGGGAGTGGGATGGGGGAGACAGTACGGAGGCCTCAGTGAAGACAGAGCCCAGGAGTGCGGGAGCAGTGAATGAAGACGAGGTGTCTCCAGTTTCAGGGGGATGAGGGGACAGAGGACTAGAGCAGGGGAAGCAACTGACAACACAAAAATGGGGCGTGAAGCAGCACCCCTGGGGATTCACACACTCCTCTCCCCCCCAGAAGAGCGCGCTCGGCCAGCTCCCGCTTCCAGCCATGCACTTCTGAGGGCAGGGCGGGGACCGGCTCATTGCCTGGGCCCCGTGCAGAGTCCACACAGCACATGCTCACGGGCACCTGCAGGACAGGGCAGGATGGGGCCAGGCCATGGACTTGCAGAGAGCGGCTGGAGCCTCCCTCTGCTCAGGGGGTTGGGGGAGGAGGCCGGGAGGCGGCCCTCTGCTGGGGCTAATTTGATGGTCGCAAACCCTTCTTTGTGCTTTTTTTTGAGACAGAGTTTCACTTTGTTGCCCAGGCTAGAGTGAGTGCCCTGGTGTCAGCCTGGGCTCAAGCAATCCTGCCTCAGCCTCCCAAGTAGATGGGACTACAGGCATGCACCACCATGCCTGGCTAATATTTTCTATATGTATTAGTTAGACAATTAATTTCTTTCTATTTATAGTAGAGATGGGGTCTTGCTCTTGCTCAGGCTGGTTTCGAACTCCTGACTTCGAGCAATCCGCCTGCCTCGGCCTCCCAGAGTGCTAGGATTACAGGTGTGAGCCACCGCGCCCGGCCTTTTGTGTTGTTTAAACCTCCAGGTTCCTCTGCTTCCCTAGCTTTGCCACCAGGTGAGGGGCAAGGAATCAGTTCTACATTACTTGGCATGTCTTCTAACTTGAAAGTTTTATCTTTTTTTCTTTTTTTTTTTTTTGAGACAGAGTCTCACTTTGTTGCCCAGGCTAGAGTGAGTGCCGTGGCGTCAAACTCCTGGGCTCGAGTGATCCTTCTGCCTCAGCCTCCCGAGTAGCTGGGACTACAGGCATGTGCCACCATGCCCGGCTAATTTTTTCTATATGTATTAGTTGGCCAATTAATTTCTTTTGTATTTATAGTAGAGACGGGGTCTCGCTCTTGCTCAGGCTGGTTTCGAACTCCTGACCTTGAGCAATCCACCCGCCTCGGCCTCCCAGAGAGCTAGGATTACATCTTTTTTTCTTTTTGACCATTTCAAATAAAATGCCCCTGGCCCCCGCCTAAGGGACTCTGTACCCTAGAGGCTGGAGAGTGACTGCATCCTAGAAGGGAAAACACTTCTAGACGGTCAGCCCCCAGCTCCACAGCCTCCCTCTCCCATGGACGGTGGCCTAGGAGTGCTAGGACATGCTGAGACATCAAGTCCCACTGGTACCCCAGGGTGATGGATGAACCCTCTCTCCTTGAAGGTAGCACCATGCAGCTCCTCCACTCCCGGCACTCTGCACCTCACCCCTGCCTGGCCACCTGGGTGGCCTCCCTCAGGAGGCCTGAGGGAGAGAAACAGGGCCGGGGTACCGCAGGCCCTGGGGGGGAGGCGCGCATCACCTACCGTGCTGGGTGCCCAGCAGGCGGTTGAAGACCTCCTTCACCACGATGGGGTTGAGCTTGATGAGTTTAGGCAGCGCCTGGATCACCTCTTTCTACAGGGAGAAGGTGGGCGTGGGTCAGATACACCGTCACCCCCACTTCCAGGCTCACCAAGTCCCTCCAATGTTCCCTTCCCTCATCACCCCTCTGCACCCTCAGGGCGGAGCTGTCTCCCCAGCTCACTCCCCTCGCAGGCCACAGGCACCCTGGACCAGGCTGAGCACTTTACACACACGAGCCACCGCGCAGGACAGTGTGCCAGGGGAAAGTGTCATCCCCTGCTACAGGAGGAAATGGAGGCTCACCCAAGGTCCCACGGGTCACTAGGGGCAAGTGCCCGTCAGGGGACACAGACGGTTGGGGGGGTGCGTTCCTGCATGTTGGGCACAGTGCTACCTCTGTGGTTTCCGTGCGGCCTCTGGACAACCTTGTGCGTGCACGCCTACGCACAAGGGGGCTCACCGTGATCCTCGTTTGACAGGTGAGGAAAGTGAGGACAGAAGAAGGGAAATGACCTGCTTGAGGTCAGGGGAGGAGGAGGCAGACCTGAGACTGCTCCCTTGTGTGGAGAGCCCAGGAACATGCTCCTAAGCAGGTTCCTGGGTTTCGGTGGCTTCTAAGATTTCTGACTCCAGTGTCGTATGTTCCCACCTTCTCTTCTTTGCCTCTGGCTCAACTACTGCTGATGGGAGCTTGCTCTGTCCCCCCAGCACAGCATGTCCCAGCTGCGGGGCAGGCGGGCAGCCCGCTCCATACCTTCTCCAGCCCATTAAGCACCGGGATGAGGAAGCGGACGTCCGGCAGCCGCTTGTGGTAGAGATCTCGGACCCGCTTCACCAGCTCTGGGGAGGGGGGGACTGCAAGTGGAAGCAGCAGAAAAAACAACGTTGGGGGCCAAGGGTGGGACGAGGGAGGATTAGCACCAGGGAAAGAATCAGGAGGGGGTATGTGGCAGGCAAGGGGCTACTCAGTTTCAGAGCAGGAATCCTTGGCCCTAGTTGGCATTGCGCTGTCCCAGACAGATAAACTGAGGCACAAGGGTGGGGAGACCCACAAGAGGGGAAACCATCTGAGGACTCAAGAGCTGATCCCCCGGGACTGGGAAGAAGTGGGGAAGGCCCAGGCGAAAGAGAAAAAGATGAAAGGTGGAGGTCTCTGGGGGGCACCTTTGTCTGTGAGGCTATGTAGACATCGGGTGACCAGCGTCTCTGCTCCCTTGGGACAGTTTTCCACCAGGAGGAGCAGCTCTGGCGAGTTCATGCCCATTCCTCGGATCTAGAGATAGAGACGGGGATGACTAGATTCAGGGGGAGAGCTTAGGAGAGGCCTGGGGTTCACAGGTAGGGTGGAGGGTGCCGGGACTCGGGGTGTCCTCCCTGTGGGCCGTTCATTCTGCCATCTGGGACCCAACCTGTGCTTCAATCCCTCAGTGAAGACTTCTCAGGCTCCTGCCCACCACTTCCGTGACTGCCACGGGCCCAGCTTGGCTGTGTGCCCAGATCAGGGCTCAATCTGCTGCTGCTTCCGGAGCCTGTCCCGCTGCGAGCACCTAACACAGGGCCCAGGGGGCCAGGCTTCGCTTTGGCCCAACAACTGAAACTGACAGTCTTTGCTCTCGATGAGCTTGTGGTCCAGTGGGATCACTTTTCTGCAAACCACAGTTTTGGCCCACCTTGAAAATGAAGATACAAACTGCTTCCTCCTGACAATAAGCCCATCATCCCCATTTTACAGGTAAGGACACCAGTGAATCTGGACGGCAGGTATGTGGGGACTAACGTATGATTCTCTGTTTATGTTGGAAATTTTGCATAATAAAAAAAGGTCAAGAACAGAGATATAAAAAAGTGGTTTCAAATCCAGGTGTAAATTAGAAGGGCAGACAGTCTATATATCTCGGGTGCCAGTTTGCTACCGAGTTGCTTCTCTCGTGGGCAGCCCTGTGGCTTGAGACAGAGGAGCAGGAAGAACTTATTTTTATGTAATGACAGCAAAAGATTCCTGTTAGACATATAGGGGAGGGCCAGCTCATAAATAGTGATAGCAACACAGGTGTTTATGTGCTCGAGTTCATGGATGTGTTGCAACAGCTTGGGAGGACTGGAATATGTTCCCCATTTTTACTGAAGGGGCCTAAGATCGTGGTGAGAAAGTGAGCAGCAGAACGTTAACCCAGGTATGTCCAACTCCAGGCTTTTTATTTTTTTTTTGAGACAGAGTCCCACTGTATTGCCCAGGCTAAAGTGCCATGGCGTCAGCCTAGCTCACAGCAACCTCCCAGGCTCAAGTGAGTAGCTGGGACTACAGGCATGTGCCACCACACCCGGCTAATTTTTTCTATATATTTTTAGTTGGCCAAATAATTTCTTCCTTTTTCTTTTTGAGACAGAGTCTCACTTTGTTGCCCAGGCTAGATTGAGTGCCGTGGCGTTAGCCTAGCTCACAGCAACCTCAAACTCCTGGGCTTAAGCGATCCTCCTGCCTCGGCCTCCCGAGTAGCTGGGACTATAGGCATGTGCCACCATGCCCAGCTAATTTTTTCTATATATATTAGTTGGTCAATTAATTTCTTTCTATTTATAGTAGAGACGGGGTCTCACTCTTGCTCAGGCTGGTTTTGAACTCCTGACCTCAAGGAATCCTCCCGCCTTGGCCTCCCAGAGTGCTAGGATTACAGGCGTGAGCCACCACGCCCAGCCCTCTTCCTATTTTTAGTAGAGACGAGGTCTCACTCTTGCTCAGGCTGGTTTTGAACTCCTGACCTTGAGCGATCCTCCCATCTTGGCATCCCAGAGAGCTAGGATTACAGGCGTGAGTCACCTCGTCCAGCCCGACTCCAGGCTCTTAACCGCTGGGCCACCCTGTTGTCTTCTCATGAACTGACAGACAACGTGTGGACCACCTGAGAGCTGCAGAGCTGTCGGCCTGGGGTGATGACCCTTCATGCTTAGCACACGTGGAGGTGGAGACACTGGAGGAGAGGCGAACTTGGGGATTCAGCCCTGCCCACGAGTAGGTGGCACCTAGGGCTTGGGGGCCTCACCGGCTGCTCAATGACTCTCAGCACCGTCCGCTTGATGTCAGCAATGGCCTCGGTGTACACGGCCGCCAGCTCGTGGATGAGCTTGTGGTTCTGAGGCAGAAGGGCCAGGTAGAGGTACAGACACTGCTTCACCGTCTCCTCGGTCCAGGGCGCTGCCACCTCTGACAGGGCAGGGGCTGGGCATCAGGCTCACTCGTACTCTCCTCCTCCCCCACCTCCCACCCCCCACATCTGTCCTTTGCCGGCAGAGGGGGAGGGCAGACAAGGGAGCTGGATTAGGGACCAAATTGTCCTAGGGCAGGGAAGTGGGGTGGGACCATGCTTCCCATTTCTACCCTCCCCTGACCACCAATCCACACCGCAGCCAGAGCTTTCTACAGTGCGATTCTGACCCATCCCTGTCTTGCTCAAAGTCCTGTCACGACTGCCCTGTGGCCTTGGGATAACCCCCCAGCTCTTCCTCTTGCATTGTTTGCCGGGCACTGTATGGGGTGGCCCTAGCCCATCGCCAGCTGTCCTCTATGCCAGTCACATGCCCCTTCCTACAGTCCTGAGGGCCCTTTGTGCCTGTGCATCTGTGCCTGCCGTCCCCTTTGCTGGGACCACCACTCCCCAGCTCCTTTTGTCACACCTGCTCAGCTTCTTGGCCTCATGCAGACTTTCTCCTGGGAAGCCTTCCCAGCACCCAGGCTAGGCCAGGTCTTGTGTTTCCCCACCACGGCCCCAAACCTTCCCATTTAATGGTCTGTTTACTTGGGGCCTGGGTCTGCCTGTCTGAATCCCAGGGGCACCTGGGGCTTTGCTGAGGGAACTGGCCTGGTCCTTCCTGGAGCCCTACCGCTGGCTAGCTCTCCTTGTCCTCTGGGTCTTTCCCCGACCTCTTGGGCTGGGTGAGACGCGCCCCCACCCAAGCTCACACAGTCCTGTCCATTCCGTCATTACTGCCAAGTTGTCTTCCCCCAGGACGCAGCAAGTGCTAAATACACAGCTGATGAACCTGCACCAAACCTGTGTCCTTGTCGGCTCCGAACAGCACAGACGGTGGGTTGGGGTGGACCAAGAGCTGCAGGTAGTTGAGGGCAAATTTCTCCACGTACTCTCGGAGCTGCTCCTTTTCGTACATGCGTTTGATGAACAGCAAGGCCTGGGAACGCACCTGAGCAGAGAGTGGGGGCAAGATTGGAAGAGCGCAGGGGATGGGAGGGACAGCTGTTCTTCCACGCTTGCCAGCACATGCGTGAAAACAAGCTTAAGCCTGAGAAAGGCCCAGCCCAGCTGTTACCTGTGCCCAGGGCTGGTCACCAGCTCAGAGGGACGCATCCTGGCCCAAGGAGGGCCCTGCACCATCTCTTACCACTGCCTGCCTTGCTCCTTACGCTCCAAGCAGAGCGAGCTTTCCTCAGCTCCTCAAAAGTGACACTCTCTGCCAAGGCTCCCTGGCTTTGAAACTTGGCACAGAAGGCCAAGAATGCCTAGAATTCCTGTCACTGGCTAAATCCTGTTTCGAGCAGATATCATCTGCTGGGAGCCATAAGGGCAGGGGCTGGTCTTGGGCACTGTTTTGTCCCCAACAGCAGCAAGGAGCCAGGGCAAAAGGTGTGCAATGAAGGTCTGCTGAATGAACGAACGAACACATGCTGCCAGGTCTGGTGAAAGGCTGGAGCAGGGATGGGCCAAGGGCCTCTCTCAACATAGCACGTACACATTTGTCCCTTCTGCCTAGAGCACACCCACCTACTCATATTTCAGGTCTCAGTTTACACATTCCCTCTTCCAGGGAGCCTTCCTTGAAATACCTCCCCAACTACATGGGTGAGGCCCCTCCCTAGGGCTCCTGTAGCCACATTGCTCTGCTCAAGGCACTGAGCATGCTGGGTCCTGGCTGCCGACTGAGAAGTCACACTGGCTTCTCATTGGGCTAGTGCCCCAAGGTTCCAGCGTGGGAACTAAAGAAACAAAATAAAACAACCAAAGAACCAATACACTGTTGCATGACGGGCATTAGGCCCAGGGAGAAACTTTCAGGTGGATGCGGAAGAGGCTGGGCTGGTTACTTAGGACAGAGGAAGGCCTTTGCAAACTGCCGGCTGAGTGGAGCCCTGCAGTCAAACATGTGGCAGTGGGGCATCACCTTGTCCTTCTCATGGGAGCTGAGGTCTAGGAGGACGTGCAGATACTGGAATTGGCGGGACGGGCGCTTAAAGATTAGGTCTCGAAGCGTGGACATGCCCAGGTAGGTGCGACTCTGCAGTGAGAGGGAGGAAACCGGAGCTCAGCCACCTGCAGTGTGCCTTTGGGATCTGTCTCTTTCACTTCCCTCAGATCAGGTGCCTGGACAAAAGGGCCTGGTCCCTTGTGAAACCCCCTGCCACAAGGTCCAGGGTATGTGCCCTTCAGAGCAAGGCAGGCCCTGTTCCTGCCTTGCAGTGATAGGCTGCACTGATCTGAATCTGCCTGCCCTACCTAGCTCGCAGCCGCCTGTCCTCACCTCGTCCTCGCAGTACTTGCGAATCACCTCCAGGGCACTCTCAGTGATGAGCGGGGCCTCCAGCACCACCTTGGTGAAGATCCTGCCGGAGAGGAGGGAGAAGGGACAGCTGCAGAAAGGCCACCTGGCTGTGCACTGCAGGTGCCCAGAGCTGGCAGGCCCTCTCCCGGAGACAGCCTGTTCACCCCATGGTTATAGAGCTTTGGAAATGAATAGAGCAGGGTTCAAAAGCTGCCAGTTGGGTGGATTTGGACAGAGACTACTCTGAAATTCAGTTTCTCCCTTTTGTCAAATGGGTATTCCTAATGGGTATTCATCTAATGCAGCAGTGGGAGGAAATGATGGGAGTGGAGGAGGGTGCTGGTTACTTTAGATATGGTGGCCACAAATGGCTGCTTTGAGGTAACATCTGGGTCAACACTGGGATGAGGAGCAAGCCATGCAAAGAGTGGGACAGAGAGCATTCCAGGTAAAGACAACAGTATGTGCCAAGGCCCTGAACTTGGCACATCCAAGGAACAGCTAGGATGTCAATGTGGCTAAAGTTTGGAGGGTAAGGGACAGAAAAAAGAGGTTAAAGAGGTTGGTAGGGGTTGGGCCACACAAGGCCTCACTGGCCAGAGTAAGGAGGCTGTACTTTATGCTAAGAGCAATGGGGAACCATGGAAGGTTCTAAGTGGGGAAACAACAAGAAGATTTACACAATGAAGTGTCCTCAGAGCTGTTTGGAGGATGGATAGGTAAGCTGGAGGCCAAAAATACGGAGGAAACTATAGAACAAAATCAGGTAAGAGATGAGGTATAGAGAAGCCATCGCCAAAACAAGACCAGGAGGTGGTAGTTACAGATGGGAAAACAGGTGTAGAGGTAATTGACACAGGCCATGCAGAGCAAGTGGCAGAGCTGGGCAGGAAGCTCAGAAAGTGTGATCCAGAGCCTACACTCGAAACTACAAACTTGTACGTGCTTCCGGAGAGTAGGGACGGAAAACGGGTGTCTTGGGATGGGCACATGGAACATTGACTCAGTGGTGATAAAGAGGAAGATGGTCAAAACTAGAGAGGAAGGGTAGGACACAGGAGGGGGATTCTCAGGGACAGGGAGGTACAGGCCCATCCCCTCACCCATCCTTCTGGTCCGGTTTCTCCTGCAGGCCGGAGAGCAGGCGGATGAGGCAGTCCTCATACTTGTCCAGGGTGCCCGAGGCCCCGGCTGCCAGGTAGGCGTTGTACTCCTGGTAGAGCCAGGCAAAGACCAGGTCCAGGCGGGCCCGCACATCCTCTAGGATAAAGGACAGGACCTCCGCCTTTAGGCCCGAGTCGAACTGCGTCACCAGGCTGGCCAGGATCTTTATGCGCACCTGGTGGGGGAACAAGCAAGCATGTTGGTGTGAGGGTAGGCAATCCTGGGGACCCCCCTCCAGTCATGCCCTTCAACTCCTCCTGCCTGGGCTGAAGATGTCCCGGAGGAGACAGGGAGGGTCCTGTTAACAATAGCACCAAGTGGCAGAATCAGGATTTAAAACCAGGTATGTGTGGCTCTAGACAGTAAGAATAATGTTAACCACCATGAAAAACACGCACACAGGAGCAGCCCTCACTTGCAGAGCACTTCCTGCCACCTGCCCCATGCTGATTACACGCACACGTGCATTTGCGAGTTTCTTCCTCATCCCCGAAGAGCTGCTGCCACCGTCTCTGGTTTACAGAGGAGAGGGCCTGATGCTTGGCTGGGATGTGAGGCAAGCTCTTGGGGAGAGGGACTGGAAGGATGGGCTGCTGGGGGGACGGGAGCACACCTGGGCTGCCCCGCTGCAGGCCACAGCCTTCTCCGCCCGCAGGATCCGCTTCACAGCACCCAGCTTCATGGCCTCAACCTGGGCATCAGTCAGGGGCTTCAGCACGTCGCTGAGACGGAAGATTTTCTTGCGCCCACCGGCACCCGCCAGCCTGCATGGGAGAGTAGGGACAGGGACACAGTGACTCAGAGCATCCTTTCTGCAGCCCAGGCCCATCAGGTGACTCTCCCCACCTCAGCGACTAGGCAGGCCCCCTCCCATGCTGCCTCTCTAAGCCCCCTGTGACGCTGAGGCACAGCGGGGGTACGAGTTAGGAGAGGATGCTATTTTGGTTTTGTATAAGGCGTCTTAGGGAAGACTTCTTTAAGGAGCTAATATGAGAGTGGAAATCTGAATGAAGGGAGGGAACAAGACACAGAAATGTCTAAGGGACAAGTTTTCCAGACTGACAGAACAGTAAAGGCAAAGGCTTTAGGTGGGGGTCTGCTTGCGGGGTGGCTGGAGGAGAGTGAGGGGAGCAGGGAGCGTGGTGGGCAGCAGGCCATGCTCAGCTGTGTTAGCGAGACTTGGGTGGGGCCAGGGTCGAGGCTGGGACTGGCTGGGTTTTGTGGTCTCTAAGGGAGGTAATGATGGCGGCAACGATGGTGACAAGTAGCACTTGCTACACATCAAGAATCATGCAAAATGCTTTATAATCACAACCACTTTTAACTCCAGAGTTATCTAATTTAGTTATCTAACCATCACCTTGCACTATTAATCATTTAATTCTTCCTTGATCCTTACGAGAAAGATACTATCATTATACCAATTTTAGACATAAGGGGGTGTTTTCACAGAAAAAAACAACAGTGATTTAGTGGTGATGGCACTGACTCAGACATCAGCGAGAACCTCGTCCAGATCTTTTTCTGTCCCAAACTCACTTGCATATGCACAGAAACCAAGAAGCGGACCCTCAGAGCAGGGCTCCTGTCTCGTCCAGCAACTGGAAGGGGACTCACCGGGGCTGTGTGACAGGAATGATGGGCTCCGGCCTCCTCTTGGCCTGGGGCGCCTCCTCCTCCAGAGGGGACATGGAGCTCAGGGAGCCCACCACCGAGATGGCTTGGCCCTGGGCTGGCAGGCGTCGCTTGATCAGGACGCTCTCGGGCTTCACCACCTTCTCCTCCTTGGGCTCCTCCTTGCACTGTTTGGTTTGCTCCACGCCTGAGAGGGAGGCAGCAAACGAGCACTCGGCACATCAGACCTGCCTGCTCCCGTCTCAGGACCTCCGGTGTGCCCAGCTGCCCAGCTCTGAGCCTTGCACACACAAAACCTTGTTGAAGTGTGCGCAATACCTTCCTGGAGTGGGTACTCCCTTTATCCTCATTTTGTAGTGCAAAAACTGAGGCTCAAACTAGAAATGCCACTGGGAGTAGCAAATGGTACAGCCACTTTGGAAACATGATGAGCAGTTTTTAGTAGCATTGATCACACCCTAACCTAGGACCCAACAATTCCCCTCCCTGGTATCTACTCACGATAGGTGAGGGCACATGGGCATCAAAAGACTTAGACACAAACATTCAAGGCAGCTTTATTCGCAGTAGCCCCAAACTGGAAACAAGTCACAGGTCCAATAACAGGAGTGTGGATATCAAATGGCTGTATATTCTACATATAAGGCAGTACTACTGAGCAGTAAAAGATAAGCTACTAGTTCACATGACAACATGGATCAATCTCAAAAACTTATGGTGAGCAAAGAGGTCAGACTCTTTGTAATCCCATGTATATGAAGTTCAAGATAGGTAAAACTAATCTATGGAGGCAAAAACCAGAACGGTGGTTATCTCCAGAGTTGGGCTGCCTTGAATGCTGAACAGAGAAGAAGAAGGAAGAACTCTCTATAGTGGTGGAAATGGTCTATATAGGTTAAGTATCCCTGATCTGAAAATCTGAAATCCAAAATGCTCTAAAATCTGAAACTTGAGTGTCAAAATGACACCATAAATGGGAAATTCCATGCGTGACCTCATGTGACAGGCTGTAGTCAAAACACAGTCAAAATTTTGTTTCAGGCCAGGTGCAGTGGCTCACACCTGTAATCCTAGTATTCTGGGTGGTGGAGACAGGAGGACTGCTTGAGCTCAGGAGCTCAAGACCAGCCTGAGCAAGAGTGAGACCCCGTCTCTACTAAAAATGGAAAAAATAAGCCAGGCGTGGTGGTGCACGCCTGTAGTCCCAGCTACTCAGGAGGCTGAGGCAGGGGGATCATGTGAGCCCAGGAGTTTGAGGTTGCTGTGAGCTAGGCTGACGCCACAGCACTCGCCCAAGCAACAGAGTGACACTCTGTCTCAAAACAACAACAACAAAACCCCCAAAAACAAACTTTGTTTTAGGCCAGGTGTGGTGGCTCATGCCTATAATCATAGCACTTTGGGAGGCCAAGGAGGGAGGATAGCTTGAAGCCAGGAGTTCAAGACCAGCCTGAACAACATAGCGAGATCTTGTTCCTACTAAAAGTAGAAAAATTAGCTGGATGTGGTGGTGTGCACCTGTAGTTCCAGCTACTTGGGAGACTGAAGCAGGAGGATCGCTTGAGCCCAAGAGTACCATGTTTCCCCCAAAATAAGACAGGGTCTTATATTTATTTTTCCTCAAGAAGACACCCTAGGGCTTATTTTCAGAGGATGTGTTATTTTTCTGAAGTATGGTACAACAATCTACATTTATTCAAATATAGTTAAGTTGTCTTCTTCTGGAACATCATCATAACTTTCCAAACCCCGAATTCCATCCTGATTTTCTTGCGACACTATTTCCTTTAGAACCATTGGCCCCAATCTCTCATGTTGAGCAATAGAGCTCTCATGGGGCAGATGAGAAGGGCTGCTCGTCTTCTGTACCGCTCTGCGATGAAACGCATGGGTTGTGCAGACACACTGCGAAGCCACGCCCATCACTAGGGCTTATTTTCGGGGTCGGGCTTATATTGTGCAAATGCTTAGAAATCCTGCTAGGGTTTACTTTATGGGTAGGTCTTATTTTCAGGGAAACACAGTATGAGGTTGCAGTGAGCTATGATGATGCCACTGCACTCTAGCCCAGGTGACAGAGTGAGACCCTGTCTCAAAAAACAAAAACAAACCAACTTTGTTCATGCATAAAAGAACTAAAAATACATAAGCTTACCTTCAGGCTATATGTATGAAGTACATAAGAAACAAATGAATTGTGTGTTTAGAGGTGGGTCCCATCACCAAAGATATCTCATTATGTATATGCAAAATTCCAATATCCAAAGACTGAAAGACATCTGGTCCCAAGCATTTTGGACAAGGGATACTCAACCTGTATCTTGATCTGGGTGGTGGTTATACTGGTGGGTTCACTTTGTAACAATTCACTAAGGTGTACACTAAGAGATGTGCATTGAGTTATACTATACCTCAGTAGTACTATTAAAATGGGGAAAAACTCTGAGACTCAGAGAGGTTAAGTAACTTGACCAAGGTCACACAGCTCTTAAGATGATGAGGCAGTCTAGTTCAACTCAAACCTCGAACTCAGGTCTGTTGGATTTCAAAGCAAGGACCTGAAAATACTGAGCACTCAATCTATCTAGAGGACCCATAATTATTTGCATGTTAGCTCTCACATGATGAACCCAGCAGCCACAAGTGCCAACCCCTGGCCCAAATCAGCTCCAGGAGATACTGACCTGGCCCTAGTCCTGCGGCCGTCATCTGCGTGGCCATGAGCCGAGCCAGGTGCTTGATCTGGGCTTCGGTGCCTGCTGACTCCACGGGCGTGTAGATGGCTTGGAAGGATGCGGGCATGGCCTCAGGCAGGTACACCATGCTGATGAGAACCTGTGGGATGCCCAGGAAGAGGAGCCTCTCCTTAACCATGAAGTCGACAAGCATGTGTTCCACGCCCAGGCCAACACTAGGGAAACAGCAGTGACTAAGACTGACCTGGGCCTACTCTCCTGGAGTTGAGTCTCTTGGGCAAGTCAGAGAGAAAATGAGTAACGATACAGGTGCTTGAGAGGGAAGTGAAGGGTGCTCTGAGCTGCATCAGGAGGGCAGGCAAGGCTCTGGCTCCCTGGAAAAGTGGCACTTGGGTTGAGAACTGAGGGGAGGGCAGGAATTGGCCTGGTGTAGGGAAGGTCTTACAGTTTGGGGGTGTGGGGGGGTATGTATTCCAGGTTCAGAAACAGCATGCGAGAAGGCTAATAGGCAGTAGAGCTGGTACCCTGTCCAGAGAGTAGAAAGAGGTTCAGCGAAGAACAGTATATGAACTAGGAACTAACTTAAAAAGATAAGCAAATAGGGATGGTCATGATGGAGACTCAGACTTTTGGGGGGAGGGGGGGAAATGGGCATTTACTGAAACCTTAAAATCTGTACCCCCATAATATGCCGAAATAAAAAAAAAAAAAAAAAGATAAGCAAATAAAAAAGCCCAGTATCCTAACAGAGCATCCATGGATGTCAGGAAGGTAATAAGAGATAATCTCAAACTCCCTACACATTTGTAACTTTAAATGTACACTCTAAACAATAAAATAATTAGAACAGAAAGAAAATGAAACTACTACAAATCAAAATGTGTGGAATTCAGCTAAAATGGTACTTAGATAGAAAATCAAATCCTTAAATGCTTACATTGGAAAAAAGAACTGAAAATTAATGAGCCAACCATTTAACTTAAAACTTTGGAGAAAAATATTCAAAGAAAGTAGCAATAAAACAAAAGGTTCTAAAAGAATAACAACAGGGCTGGTTGCGGTGGTGCACACCTGTAGACCCAGCTACTCAGGAGGCTGAGACTGGAGGATTACTTGAACCCAGGAGTTCGAGACCAGCCTGGGTAACACAGCAAAGAGGCAGTTCTTTGAAATAACTACAAACAAGCAAATCTTTGGCAAAATTGGACATGGTACTAAGAACAAAAAGGGACACATTACTATATAGACAGCAGGTATTTTTATATACGTACAAGAATACAATGAACAATTTCATGGCAATAAATTTGAAAAGGACAATTTCCTCAACTGATGATAGAAAAGGCTGAACAAGTTAACAGAAGCCAGATCAGAGAGGGCTTACTAAGGCAAGCCAAATTTAATCTATTTAAATTTTACTTAAATAGAAAGCTTCAGCAGGGATTTCAGCAAGGGAGTACCATGATTTGTGCTTTAGAAAGCTACGTCTCCAAACTGCCACATGAAGAGTGGGCTGAAGGAGACCAGTGCCAGGTGGCAAGCGGGAGTCATGCTCCAGGGGAAAAGGGTAGGCGGCCCAGGGCACGGACGAGCAGGGTGGAGAAGAGGGCAAGGACTAGGGACAGAAGGAAAAGAGGTTCACTTCCAGGTTTCTGGGCTGAGAACTGGGAAGCTGGTGTGCCAAGGAGAACACAGGAGGGGCTGTGGGCCCACAGAGGAGCATGGGGAGAAATTGGAAAACTATAGTGTTGAGGTTTTGAGTCTGAGGTCCCTGTGGGACATCTAAGGGGAGGAAAATGAGGAGATGGCTGCATATCCAGGCTTGAGGCACACCAAAGAGACTGGAGATGGAGAGAAAACTCCTTCTCACTGTCCTCATGACAAAATTTCCACTCCATTCACACCAAAACTAAGCCCCTTGGAGTCTCCAGGTAGAGGGAAGGGAAGACTGCCATTGAGCATGGGAAGAGGCATTCATTCTCCTTGATACCCAGGGAAGGTCTGGATGCTGCTGTAGCCAGAGGACTGAAGTGAGACCCATTCTTCTCCCAATCAACTCAAGCAAGTGGTTCCTTTGCTTTGGAGCCGGAAATCTTTGAGAATCTAAGGAACACACTGGCCCACCCATGCCCATTCCCACACCACTCAGCAAGCAATTCATGGGGCTCATGACCACCCTCCAAACTCTCCAGTGAATACACCGTCAAAGGTGAGAAGGGAGAGTGAGAGTAATTGGGTTTATTTATTTATTTATTTTTGAGACAGAGTCTCATTTGTTGCCCAGGCTTGAGTGCCATGGCGTCAGCCTAGCTCACAGCAACCTCAAACTCCTGGGCTCAAGCAATCCTCTTGCCTCAGCCTCCCAAGTAGCTGGAACTACAGGCATGCGCCACCATGCCCGGCTAATTTTTTATCTCTATATATTAGTTGGCCAATGAATTTCTTTCTATGTATAGTAGAGACGGGATCTTGCTCTTGCTCAGGCTGGTTTCGAACTCCTGACCCCAAGCAATCTGCCTGCCTCAGCCTCTCAGAGTGCTAGGATTACAGGCTTGAGCCACTGCGCACGGCCAATAATTGGGTTTGGATTAAATGGGGACTTAGCCCACCCAAAGAGGGCCCATTGGGCAGTTGTGACAAGTGACCTCGTGAAAGAGTAAGGTTCAGAAGAAGAGAGATCCATCCAAAGTTAGGAGAGACTTCTGGACCAGCCCTGTAAGGGACTGATGTCATCTGGAGGAGGTGGGGAGGGTGTAGTAGAGGTAGGGCAATGGGGAGTGTGTAGTAGAGGTAGGGCAATGGGGAGTGTGTAGTAGAGGTAGGGCAAGTTCCTCCTTGCCCAGAGGGGAACCAGCCCCCACCCATCCTTACCAGATTGGCCACATTGTCGGGTGTCAGCAGAGGCTGTAAGAACTCGGCTGTGATATCTGTGTCTGACTGGCCTGAGATCTGGGCTGAGGCCTTCGAGGTTCCCGATGGGCCTGGCTCCAAGTCCTTGTCCTCATCGTCTTCCCCCAGGTTGGGCTCTGAGATAGGGGAGAACAAGATGCTGGCTCTAAAGAAGGCAGCAGGCCCTCCCCCTTCCCAGGGATCCCAGGTGGTCCCTGCTGCCAGCCGGCCTCAGCAAACAGGAGCAGCACAATGGATGCAGATTAGGCTGCAGCCCTACTTCTCTCATCAAAGTGCCATATGACCGTGGGTGACAGACTGACTACTTGCCTCTTTGTGGGCCTCGGTTCTCATCTAGGAAATGAGATTAAGCCATACCATCCCAGCTAATCACAGTAAGTTCCAAGAAGACAATATTATTAACAAACAAGATCAAGGAATAATTTCATAAGACTTTATTATTTAGAAATTTCTCTCTTAGCCGGGTGTGGTAGCTCACGCCTGTAATCCTAGCACCCTGGGAAGCCAAGGGGGGAGGATCATTCAAGGTCAGGAGTTTAAGACCAACCCGAGAAAGAGTGAGACCCCATCTCTACTAAAAAAATAGAAAGAAATTAGCTGGACAACTAAAAATATATAGAAAAAACTATCCGGGAATGGTGGCACACGCCTGTAGTCCCAACTACTCTACTTGGGAGGCTGAGACAGAAGGACTGCTTAAGGCCAAGAGTTTGAGGTTGCTGTGAGCTAGGCTGAAACCATGGCACTCTAGCCCAGGCGACAGAGCAAAATTCTGCCCAAAAGAAAAAAAAGGAAGTATTCATACTTGGAAGTGGTTACTTTTGGAGAGGGATAAGAGGAAGACTATTTCCATTTTATTCCTTTCTATATAATTTAAACAATTCATATTTATTAAATGTATTATATACTTTAATAATTCTATTTTGATATCATTTACTATGTGTCATCATATTATAAAATTTATAATATAACATTAATACAAATTCAGCATATAGTTTAAGGTAAATAACTAAAGATTTTTTTTTTTTTTTTTTTTGACAGAGTCTCACTTTGTTGTCCAGGCTAGAGTGAGTGCCGTGGCGTCAGCCTAGCTCACAGCAACCTCAAACTCCTGGGCTCAAGTGATCCTTCTGCCTCAGCCTCCCGAGTAGCTGGGACTACAGGCATGCGCCACCATGCCCGGCTAATTTTTTATATATATATCAGTTGGCCAATTAATTTCTTTCTATTTATAGTAGAGACGGGGTCTCGCTCTTGCTCAGGCTGGTTTTGAACTCCTGACCTTGAGCAATCCGCCCGCCTCGGCCTCCCAAGAGCTAGGATTACAGGCGTGAGCCACCTCGCCCGGCCAAATAACTAAAGATTTTAAGCACAGTCAGCCTCCATCCCACCCCTGCCAGGCCCCACACTCAGCCCCTCAGCTCACCTAGCTTCATCTTCTTGAGTGTGGAATCCGAGTCATCCCGGGGCCGCTTGCGGGCATCCTTGCTGCTGGGCATGTTGCGGGCAATCTCGGCCTGAGGTGTGCCCAGGTCCACCAGCAGGGTGGTGATCTGGGCCTGGAACTCCAGGGAGGCGGGGTGCTTCAGCACATTCAACAGGTGCAGCTTGAGGTTCTTACGCACGCTGCTCACCTGCGATTTGGCCAGCGTCGGGGGGAGGTTGGCTGTGAGGGAAGAAGCAGGAGGTTAGTGCTATAGACAGATGTCATGGCATCCTGCCAGTCTTAATTCCCAGCCCCACACTTGGGCAGTGGTCTTGTAGGCATCTGTTAGAAAAGCTCCTTCGCCCTTAGATCTAATGTGTGTGGCATTCCCCCACATGAGCTGATGCTTAAAACCCGTGAAAGGTCTCCATCACTATTAGCCAACTCTTAAAGAGAAAAACCCTCCCTTTTATTAAACATAAAGTCTCATTTCCTTCCATCTCCAGTCCAGAAATTCCAACATGCTTCCCCTGGGAAAGGTTATAATCACTACATTCACCTCCAGAAATTCCCAACTGAACTGCTGCAACAGCTCCCTGCTGGTCTCCTGCCACTCCCTGAGGTGAGAATGACTTTCTAATGCCTAACGGTCACCTTGATGAGTGAGCCTTCCCTGTTCCACAGCAAAAAAGGATGCCTGTAATTTTGCCTGCCCAGCATCCAATGCCCCTGCCTGAGCCAACAACATTCCCAATCTCCTTTGGGAACCACCCTGTCTCCATTCTCAGTCCAAGTGGGCATGAGAGCCAGGGCCAGTGAGAACACTGCATTCCCTTGGCCACTGTAATTGGTCAGAAATAGGCTCATAATCTCTGCTCAGCCAATCGGAAACAATGGGCATCAGCCCTTGGAGTTTTGCTGGAATGATCGGGAAGGAGACACTCTCTTTCCCCTTGGTTGCTAAGTTGGTGGAATGTAAGCCTGGAGCTAGGGGGGCCATCTTTGCTACCTCAAGGAAAGATCCAAGAATGAAGCCAAGATGGAGAAAACAGGAGCTACGAGATGAAGAGAAACAGATCTATGACCTGCACACACTCATGCCTCAACTCCAGACTTCTCAGTTTTCATATGTGTACAACAGCAGAGAAAAAAGTATAAGTTTCCATGTATCCATCAATATTTTTCTAATCTTAGAACATCTATCCTTCCCCCTTTTTTGGTGGGAGAAGCTGGAATATTTCAAAGTTTTTCACTGACATCATGTCATTTTACCCACATATACCTCAATATTAAAGCCAGTTTTTTTTTGAGACAGTGTCTCGCTTTGTTGCCCAGGCTAGAGTGCCGTGGCGTCAGCCTAGCTCACAGCAACCTCAAACTCCTGGGCTCAAGCGATCCTCCTGCCTCAGCCTACCGAGTAGCTGGGACTACAGGCATGCGCTACCATGCCCAGCTAATTTTTCTATATATATTAGTTGACCAATTAATTTATTTCTATTTATATATAGTAGAGACAGGGTCTCGCTCTTGCTCAGGCTGGTCTTGAACTCCTGAGCTCAAACAATCCGCCTGCCTCGGCCTCCCAGAGTGCTAGGATTACAGGCGTGAGCCACCGCGCCCGGCCTTAAAGCCAGTTTTGAAATAGGTTTTTTTTTTGAGACAGAGTCTTACTCTGTTGCCCAGGCTAGAGTGCCATGGCGTCAGGCTAGCTCACAGCAACCTCAAAGTCCTGGGCTCAAGCGATCCTCCTGCCTCAGCCTCCCAAGTAGCTGGGACTACAGGCATGCGCCACCATGCCCGGCTAATTTTTCTATATATATTAGTTGACCAATTAATTTCTTTCTATTTACAGTAGAGACGGGGTCTCGCTCTTGCTCAGGCTGGTCTCGAACTCCTGAGCTCAAACAATCCGCCCGCCTCGGCCTCCCAGAGTGCTAGGATTACAGGCGTGAGCCACCGCGCCCGGCCTTGAAATAGGTTTTGAAACACGCCAAAAGATTCCCATTTAATCTAGATAAGCCCACCGTCTGCTACATCAATGACTAGCACTCAGGAGTCTGCCACCCAGCTCACATTTCTCAAGAGACCGGCCAGTGGAGAGAGGAAGGGGAGGTAATCAACCTACCATGCAGGGTTTCATAGGCCTGGATCACCTCGGACATGAACATGGGTCTCTGGCGGGCGATATTGGCGAGGGCACCCAGTGCTGTGGTCAGGTTGATGGAGGAGATGGCGGGGTGCACCATGAACTTGAGCAGCTGCTCCAGGGCTGCCTTTCCCTCTTCCCACAGCACGTCTAACAAGAGAGAAGAGAACCCTCTTTTCTCCAATGGGGTCGCCTCTCCCAGGCCTCTGGTAAGAGTAGCTTTTGGGGCCAAACAGAAGGAAGGACCCTCGTACTTAGATGTCTATGAATGGCTAGAAAACCAGAAAATGTAGTGGTTGATGACTCCTATGCAACAGACTATTAATGAGTGTAAAAATTTAGTAATGAGGATGTTCAAAGCATGGGCTGCAATAGTGAAAGACAAGAAATAATGTTCTTTCTGTCTTTTTTTAGTTTTTAGTGGGAACTTCAAGTGCTGGACACAAGAAATAAGTTTAAACATCCAACTATTAGAAACAGACTACATGAACCATGTTGATGTAGAACTTTGAATATGTACCTATGCGTACAGACAAAGAACTCAAAGTCCCTTGTAGTACCTCTCCTCTCAATCTGGTCCCCAAAAGTTAACACTTAAAACTTTGGTGGGTATCTTCCCAGACATTTGCTAAGCAAAAACATACTGAATGCCATCTTATTTAAAATAGTGAATAAAAAACAAACTAATATCCACCAACAGAGAATTGCTTAACCCTTTGCACTTGGATGTCGAGTGTGACACGACACGGTTAGCAAAAATTATAGAGATTAAAATTACTCTTTGAATGTATCAATAATTTGAAATATAAAAAAATCCAAATAAATAAGTTTGTATGAAAAGAAACTCCAGATTTTTATTCTGCTGCCGCACTTTGTAATATCAGGGGTATTAAAAAAATTAAATCCCGAGTAGAATAAAGGAATCGAGAAAAAAGCAAGCGAGTGCAAAGGGTTAACAGAATGGGTGTAACCATACTATGGAATACTGAGCAGCAGCTGAACAAGACTCTAATAGGGAAAGGATGTCACTGATATTAAGTCAAACCATATATAAGAATAGGTAAGTAATATTTATGGAATGCCTGCTATGCCAGCCACAGTAACTCACCAAATGCTCACACCTATATCCTAAAGTCCATGCCATAACAATGATCCCGCATTTCCCAGTGAGGAAATAGGCTGAGAGACAGAGAATAAGTTACCTGTTCAATAGCAAAGCTGGGTTTCAAACACAAGCCACTACACTCTAATTTAATCTCTCAGCTCAAAAAATAAAGCATGATCTCATTTTTGTAAACAGAAAAGCAAACAAATGCAAATACTATGAATATATACATAAATATTTCTATATTTCATATAGAAATTTTTCATATAGAAATATTTCTATATTTCATATAGAAATATCTATATGAGCACAGAAAAGGTCTGGAAGGAAACATAATCTTAATGTTGTTTATCTTTAGGAAGCAGAACTGACGGAGGGGTATTATTCCTTATACCTCTCCACATTGCTTGACCCTTAAATAACGTGCACGTACTACTTTTATAATTGGCAATTAAAAAACCATAATCCTAGCTAGCATTTATCAGCTTACACTCTCATGGAACCGCACTACAAATCTGTGAAATTATGATCATCTCCATTCTACAAAAAAGAAAATGAAGTTCAGAAAGAAGTAACTTGGCCCAGCGCGGCGGCTCACACCTCTAATCCTAGCACTCTGGGAGGCCGCAGCAAGACCAGCCTGAGCAAGAGCAAGAGCCTGTCTCTACTAAAATAGAAAAAAGGTAGCCGGGTGTGGTGGTGCACACCTGCCATCTTAGCTACTCAGGAAGATCGCTTGAGCCCAGTAGTTTGAGGTTGCTGTGAGCTAGGCTGACGCCACAGCACTCTATCCTGGGCAACAGAATGAGACTCTGTCTCAAAAAGAAAAAAGGAAGAACTTCCTTCAGTTCATAATGAGTAAGCAATGAAGGTGGGATTTGAACCTAGCCCTAGCAGCAGGCCTCTTAACCACTATACTATACTGTCTCCAGAAATTAAAAACCAAAAAAGACAAAGCGGAGGGAGCGAGGGAAGTGAAAGAGAAGAGGAAGGGAGCCAGGGTAGCGCGGACAAACACCACCAGCAGATGGGAGGCACTCACTGTACTGGATGTAGGGGTGGTCCCGAGGGATACGGTCCAAGCTGATGTCGTGCTCCTGGCGTCGGGGTATCTCTGAGTCAGCCATTCGGGGTGACAGGGTGACAATGAGGCCCTCCACAAACTTGATGGCATGAGTGCGGATGCCATCATTGTCAGAGTCCAACAACAGGATGATGTCCCCAGCCATGGCAGACACCATGTCCCAGCAGGCCTCCTGGAGCTCACTGATGACCCGTGACTTCACCATCCACTGCCAGTGGGGCAGGGACAGACGGGAGAGACAGAGATGAAGACAACACATCAATCACCAACACCCTTCAACATTACCCAGAGATCCACAAATGATGAAACCATTCATTTGGTTAACAGTTACTAAGTTCCACCTCTGTCCCCAGCCCAGTGTGCTGGGTGATGCTGGGGACAGGACCCAATGGTGGCCAGAACAGGTCTGGCCCTGCTCTCATGGGGCTCACAGACAGTGACAGCCCAGAGTGATGAAGGCTCAAATCTTAAGGCAAAGGTATAACAATGCTGACCTCACAGGCAGTGGTGATTAAATGGATTCCCTCATTTCATTATTGCCAACAAACATCATACCATAGTGTGTTCTTTCCCTAGCACAGTCTACAATCAATATTTATGCAATTCTTTTCATTAGCATTTGTCTCCTTTAATGGGTTATGAGCACCATGAAGGCAGGATCTGAACTGTCTTAGTCACTGTAGTGTCCCCAGCATTGCCTAGCACAGGGCTGGGCACACAGGAAGTGCTCAGGGAATGTATGTTGAATAAATAAATGAATGGATTGATGGAACAAAGTACGGTTAATGGCAATTTCCCAAGCCAGGAGACAACATTAGATCCCTTTGCTGTCTGTTCCCATAGATGAACAGCACATCTTGCTTATAAAGAACGTCTGACCCTGGTTTTGAACCCCAACAGATTAGTCTGTAAATGAGACCTGTCAGGTGGGATGCTCTCAGGTGGGGAAGGACCTCTCACCTGCAGGGCCACCTTGTAGAGCTGGGTCATGGTGAGGATGGCCTTCTTCACCACATTCACATTCTCGTCCCTCAGGAGCATGTTGAGGTTCGCAATCAGTTTCAGCAGTAACTCGATGTCTCGCTTGCTGGGGGATGGAGAAAAAGGGGCAAGTCAGGATGGCCGTAGGGCAGGTGGTAGGAGCTTGGGATCTAAGAGGAAAGGGAAATCAGGGCCCACATCTCAGGGGACTGGAATGGAAGTGGCAGAGTCAAGGCACTACACCTGCCTTGCTTGCCAGCACATTTGGAACGAGGGAACGATGCTTGGCACCTCCAGACTGAGACGCCTTTGAACCCTCTATCTAGGCTGGTCCTGCAACCCCCGCTCCTTTGCTCAATGTCATAATAATGATCCTGTTCACATTTTAGCAGGATCATTCCCTGCCATGAGAGCAAGAGTAGATGTGGGGAATGAATACCACAACTCCTCTTTAGGGGATGAAAATGCTTTGGAACTAGATTATGAATGTGCTCAATGCTACTGAATTGTTCACTTTAAAGTAGCTCTTTTTAAATATGAATTTCACTTCAATTTAAGAAGAGTGGAAGCAGAAAAGCCAGAGAAAAAGGCCCACAGACATCCTCTAGGCAGGATGGCTTGGATCAGCAGAGCAATAGAGGAAGTGGATGAAGTATGGTCACACTTGTTATCCCAGCACTTTGGGAGGCTAAGGCAGAAGAAACAGCGAGACTTTGTCTCTATAAAAAATAAAAAAAAATTAACTGGGAGTGGTGGCAGCCAGTAGTCCCAGCTATTCAGGAGGCTGAGGAGGGAGGATCACTTGAGCCCAGGAGTTCAAGGTTATATGAGTTATGATCACGCCACTGCACTGTAGCCTAGGGTGACAGAGTGAGACCCTGTCAATTAATCAATCAATAAAAGGTCACATGCTGTATATATCCTGCAAGTAGAGCCAACAGTAGTCCTCTCTGATGAGGTAGAAGTGAAGTATGGAAGCAGTAGAGGAATCACGGATAACCCCACGCTTTCAGTCTTCTTAAGTATCTGCTGGGGAATCAGCGTGCACAGGACAGAGAATGGGGCTAGGAAGCAGACGGCAGGATCACAGGGGCAGTCTCCAGGCCAGGCCAGGAGCTGAGGAGACTCATTCCACTGGGGCTGCTCCCCGGGGCCCCCATGCCACCCCATACCATGCCTCCTCAATGAAGCCGATGACAAATTTTCGCACTTCAATCGACTTGTCTACTTGGAAAGCGATGATCTCCTGCCAATGTCAGAGAGATGGTAGGTCAGGGCTACACCAGGATCCGTCCCCTTCCCCCTATAGGCAGATCCCTTTCCCTCCTGTCACTCACATCCAGGAAGTTGTCCAGTAGTGTGGGGTCTTTGTTGATGATCAGCTCCTGGACCTGGAAGGAGATTGGGGTGGGAAGGAGGAACACATATAAAATGGGGATCCAATCAGTACAGATAGGAGAGGGGAAAACGGCATGGGGCTAGGCAACAGATCATTTTAATGCCTGCCTCTGCCACTCCCTAGCAAGGGCCCTGGGCATGGACTCTGAACCTCACTCTGCTCTTCTATCAAATGGGAATCTTCAACAACTCACAGGGCTGTCAGGAGGCTTCAGTGAGATCTTACAAGGCACAGGTTCTGGTAGATAGTAAGGACATGATACGTGAGGGGGCTAAAAAGAAAAGAGGGCAATGCCCTAGGCCTCCCACCTTCCTGAGGCTTGTCCTCCCCTCACCTGTCCATCAGTTCTCCCTAATCTCTGCCTACTTCTGCTCCCCATTTCACACTGCCACGATTCAGCAAGCATCTTATGACAGTGAGGATTTGTTCCCTAAGGCTCTTATACCTGCCAGGCTCTTTGGAATGAGCCCTTCCTGTGGACATCCTCCTAAAAGCCCAGAGCTGGCACGGGACCTAGCTCCTACAAATCAAGCCACTGTTGTTGAATGGCCCTCAGAAGCACCCCACAAAGGGGGCACCGTTAGCACCTACTCCAGTGCAGAGGTGGAGCTGGCTCCCCAAGGCCACACACTGAGCAAGTAGCAGAACTGTGGTTCTCACACAGGTAACCTGACCCCACAATCTCTGAACTCCAACTGCCTCCTGTTCTGAACCATGCCCAGCTCCACATGTCCTCTTCCGCCTTTGTACATACTTTTGTGCACTTTGCTTGAGATGCTCTCCCTCTCTCATTTGGTATGCCTTTCTCTTTTTATCTCCAGGGCTTGGCTCAAATGTCCCTACTTCTAGAAAGTCCTTCCTGACCTCCCCCATCCCTAGTCCAGGTCAGGAGCTCCTCCCTCCAGCCTCCCACAGCCCCCTAGACTTCCATTCCAGCCCTGCCCATTGTGGATCATCACTGTCTGGTGACAGTCGTGTCTTCCCCACTGGACTGGACCCTGGCAGAGAGGAAATGCAATGATGAAGAGCATAGGACCTGGAGTCAGAATCTAGGATCCAAGTTCTAGTTCAGCCAGCTCCTAGCAGAATGACCTAGGACTAACTATTTAAGCCCTGAGGTTTGCTTCTTTCTGTATAAAATAGGGCTGAAATTACCCTGCCTTGTGGAGCTTTTATGAGAATTAGATGAGAGCACTCCTGCACAGCACTGAGCACCATGGTGGGCACATACTAAGTGTTTAAAAGTGGACACTAGTGTTAATACCAGTGTCTTCCTTCTCGGGTTCCCGTCCCCCACCCCTTGTCCTGCTCAGCCCAGGACCACCCCCATGCCCTCATCACCTGTCTGAGCACTGTGATCTTTGAGTCATTGGTGATCAGCGCTGCCTGGTTGAGGAGATCCACCACCTATAAGGAAGGGCAGAGGCAGGTGATGGTGCTAGCCCTGCCAGCCCAGTCCAGCCCCCTGCAGCACTCGCAGGGCTCTGCCACCTGGGGGTGGATTATCCAAAGACAGGGGCTACACCTCCCCACTCCACACCCTTCTGGCCACACCTACCCTCTCTGAGGTGGTCATGCCATCAATGCCTGGCCCCTCTTCTTGAGTAAAAAACTGTGATGCCACACTCCGGCGGGTGACGCTGTCCCCACTGTTGCTTGCCATGGCTGCCGTCAGGTGCTGCCTGGAAAAGACAGGGGATGGATCAAGCTCGGGGCCCCTGTGGATGGCCTGGCCTTGACTATCACCTCAATACCCACAAAGGGCTCAACCTTTCTTTCCAGCCTGTGCTTTCTCTGAGTAGCCTTCCAAAGCCCCTCTCCCCTCCAGGGTCTGTCCCTAGTTTACGTATATGTGCTTAGAGGTTGTAATCTGGGGGAGACTGCTGTCTCCCAGGCCAAAGCCTCACTCCAGTGCTTTACACATCGTGGGCCAACCCCAAACATCTGCTGAATGACTGACCAAATGAACACAGGGCAGCCGCCTCACTGATCTCTGTGCCTCCTGTCTCTCAATCTGGGCTGTACTCAGCACTGGCCACCAGAGCAAACTTTCTAAATCACAGCTCTAAGGAACACCAGTCGCAGAGCCCTGCACAAGAGGCTGGCTTAAGTATTGTTTCAGCCATTCTCTGGAACACTACAGAGCTGTTTTTAAAAGTGAGGGAGGGGGACTTGTGGGCATCTATCACTGGCAAAATTATGAAATGATTAATGCAAAAGGATATTATTTACAGCACTGTTTATAGCTGTATGATAGCAAAAGACTAGAAGCAACTCAAATGTTCTTAAATAGGGAGACGGGCTGAATAAGACACATAATAAAAGACTATGCTCTGGGAAGCCAGGGCAGGCGGACTGCTCGAGGTCAGGAGTTGGAGACCAGCTTGACCAAGAGCAAGACCCCATCTCTACTATAAATAGAAAGAAATTAATTGGCCAACTAAAAATATATAGAAAAAAATTAGCCGGGCATGGTGGCGCATGCCTGTAGTCCCAGCTACTCAGAATGCTGAGGCAGTAGGATTGCTTGAGCCCAGGAGTTTGAGGTTGCTGTGAGCTAGGCTGACGCCACAGCACTCACTCTAGCCTGGGCAACAAAGTGAGACACTGTCTCAAAAAAACCCAAAAACAAAAACAAAGAAAACAAAACAAAACTATGCAACTGTAAAGGAATGAGGGAGAATCAAGGGAATGAGGAAAATCTCAATACACTGATAGAGAGTGAAAACAAGCAACGTGGAAGACAATGTTCACTATATGCTCCCTTTTTTAAAAGAGAAATATGTTATAAAAGAAAAAAACTGAAAGATGAACCAAATGAAAGATGAAGAAGGCAACAAGGTAAAAGAAAACATTGGTGGATCTTAATGTATTGTAGCGAAAAAGATGCTAGCCCGCGTGGCATCACAGAACAATACACACAATTCAACCCATTTTTGTCAAGTTTCTATGTGTGTATTGTATACAGAATGACATCTGTGTACACAGAATGACCTGAGGCAAGAAACTTAACTTCTTTGGGTCTCAGTTTCCTCTTCTGTAAATGGGGATAGTACTGTGCCCTGCCTACCTCCTAGGACTATTCTGAGGATTAAATGAGTTAGTACACAAAGTAAACGTTAGATAAGTATAACTATTATTTTTATGTACATGGGAAAATATGTGAAGGATCTTAACTGTTAATGTTAACTCTTTTTTTTTTGAGACAGAGTCTCACTCTGTTGCCCAGGCTAGAGTGCCGTGGTGTCAGCCTCACTCAGCAAAGTCAAACTGCTGGGCTCAAGCGATCCTTCTGCCTCAGCCTCCCGAGTAGCTGGGACTACAGGCATGTGCCGCCATGTCTGGCTGATTTTTTCTATATATTTTTAGTTGGCCAACTAATTTCTATCTGTTTTTAGTAGAGATGGGGTCTCACTCTTGCTCAGACTGGTTTCAAACTCCTGACCTTGAGTGATCCTCCCACCTCGGCCTCCCAGAGTGCTAGGAGACTCTTAATATTAATTATAATAATTAACAATAATTTGGGGAGGGCAAAAAAGATATTTTTAAAAAAGAACAAGATCGATTGTATAAAGCAAGTCTTTACAGTAGGATCACACAGGTGTTTGCTGAATGACTATCGCCTCCTCCCTAGTTTCCCTGCTGCCTATCACCCCCATATTGTGCTCAGAGTCAGCCAAAATCCTTACCAAAGCCTAAAAGACCTCATAGAACCCGGCCTCTTCTACCTCTGTCCTTTTCTCCCCCTTAGCTGTCTGTTCCAGCCACTCTGGCCTCCTTGCTGTCCCGTGAACATGCCAAGCACACCGCTTCCTCAAAGCCTTTGTGCTCCTCCTCCCAGATATCAGCACAACTGCCTCCTTCCACCTTCAGGTCTCCACTCAAAAGTTTCTACAGGGATGGCTTCCCTGGCCACCCTATTTCAAATTTCAACTCCCTCTCCCTCCCCATCTGTGCTGTTTTATTTTTCTCCATGGCATTTATCATCAACACATTCACTTATAAGCTCTGTGAAGACAGAGATTTTTTTGGTGTTTGTTTACTTTATATATCCCCAGCATAGAATAGTGCTTGGCATCTAGTAGGTGCTCAATAAATATCTGCTGAACCAATCAACACTCCCACCAAAGGGCTTTCCCAATCACTGAGTTCAGAATCTCCTGCCCTTTCACTCTAGAATACTTGAAAAATAACAGCTAGTATTTACATTTAATATGTGCTGAGAGCAATTCTTTTACTCATTTAAATCTCATGACATCAACTCTTTTTTTTTTTTTTTTTTTTTTGAGACAGAGTCTCGCTTTGTTGTCCAGGCTAGAGTGAGTGCCGTGGCGTCAGCCTAGCTCACAGCAACCTCAAACTCCTGGGCTCGAGTTATCCTTCTGCCTCAGCCTCCCGAGTAGCTGGGACTACAGGCATGCACCACCATGCCTGGCTAATTTTTTATATATATATCAGTTGCCAATTAATTTCTTTCTATTTATAGTAGAGACGGGGTCTCGCTCTTGCTCAGGCTGGTTTTGAACTCCTGACCTTGAGCAATCCGCCCGCCTTGGCCTCCCAAGAGCTAGGATTACAGGCGTGAGCCACAGCGCCCGGCCCAACTCTTTAAGTATTATCTTCCATCTTTATTTTAAAGACGAAGAAATCGAAGACCAGAGAGGTAAAGTCTCTTGACCTAAGGCACACAGCTTCTAAGAGGCAGAACCAGCAGTGTGGTTGCAGAATCTATCTTCCTTACCATTGTGCTATACATAATGTCTGTCTGAAACGAATTGTTTTTCCACCCCAGTTCTGTTCATGTAAGCCAAGAAGCATGGCTACCCGACAACCAGCATACTGGGGCCCTCAACCAAAGTATAATAAACCTTTCTACTTTTTTCATGATGATAATGCATCAAGATCCACCAAAATTTTTTACTGTTTCCTTCCTCTTCTGTTTTTTCATTTATGCTTTCCAGTTGTTTTTTGTTCCTTTTTTTAAATATCAGATGCCTTTCCGCCCATTCAGTTCTTTAAAAACATATATACACATTTCCTCTTCTTTTGCAAAAAGGGAGCACACAATAAATATTATCTTCCACTTTACCTGTTTTCACTTAATATGCTAAGTGGTATATTAGTATACAAAGGGGAAGCCACTCTATCATGCATAGAGATTTTCTTCATTCTCTTCTCCTTTCTCCATCATTCCTTTTTACAGTTGCACAGTATTTTATTCTGTGGAGGTATTATAGTTTTTTAAGCCTGTCTTCCAATTTCAGAGCATCTGTGATGTTTGCAGTCCTTTGCTACAATCAACAGTGTCATTGTTTTCCCATCCCTCCCCGAGTACTCCCTATGGAGTACCCTTCCCACTCCCACCTGGGAATATGACCATTCCCCTGTTTTATCCCGCAGAGTGGCTCTAGGAGTATCTCATTCATTCAACGAACAGTAACTGGGTATCTCCAGTGTGATGGGCGCAGTGCTGGGAACACAGCGGTGACCAAGACACACCCAGTTCCCACCCTCATGGAACTCACGGTCACAGACATAATCAAAGAGTACACAGATAAAGGTCTAATAACAAATCAGACCACACGTGACATGAAGGAAAGAACGGGCGAATTTCAGGATGCAGGGCTTCGCAGAGGAAGTGACGTTCGCGCCGAGACCCGAAGGATGAATGGGACTTGGCCAGGCAGAATGAGTAAAAGGATGTTGCAGGCAGAGGGGGCAGCCTGTGCAAAAACACTGACGCGGGAAGGCGCATGGCAAGTTTGAGGAACCGAAAGGCCAATGCAGCCGGACGAAGTGGGGAAGGAGCAAAGAGACACAGTCCAGACCAGCGAGGTCTGCGGGGCGGACGCTCCTGGAGGGCCACGTTGGAACTTTGCCCTGCGGGCACTAGGGAGCCAAGGAAGGGTCCTGAGCAGGGGAAGAAACAGGGGTCCCGAATGCCACTGCTCCCCTCTCCTCGCAGCGGCCCTCCCGTAGCCTGAGTCCCTGCCTCTTCAGGGCTCCTCCTCCCTTCGTCCCCGGGCTCTCACGCCGCCTTCCGCTCACCACGGCTCGGGCCTCCGTCCCCCTCGCGCCCCCTCAGCAGCGCCTCTTCACATACGCTGCCGCCGCCGCCATCTTCCGTTCGCCGCCAGGAACATTGCGCACGCGCCACACGCGCAGGGCCGCCGGGAAATGGAGTCCAGACCGCGACCCGCTCCCGCCCTCGCCTCCAGCTACGCGAGCCTCCTCTCGCAGACTACGCCGGGGCGGCCCTTCGTTTCCGGCCTTCGTGCACCATGCCTTGTGGGAAATGTAGTCCCCCTTGCCAGCGGCACCGGGCGGAAAGGGAGCTCGAGGATTCTGGGAAATGCAGTTCTCGGTGATTCTTCGTCCCTGGACGGCTGGTTGGTGTTAGTGGAAAGTCCCGACGGCGAAGCTGCTAGGTCTTGGAGCCGGTCCTTTGCCTGAGTTGGATCTGAGCAGAGGCCCCGATCCCTGCCACCTTTGGTCCTGACCCTTTACATGGTCTGAAGCATTTCTGGCCGTCGGAAGCCGCAGTCTTCCCCTCTGTCCAACGGGAATGTGATTTTGAGGGTGTCTTATGGGTCCTCATAGTGAGTGGCATGCAGGCACCCCTGGAGTCCACAGCGCTCTGAGCCCCTTCCTTCGCGGCGGCCATGCCAAGCTCTGCCTTTTCGCCCTCTCAGGTTGAGATGATGAAACCTCCTGGGACAGAAAGTCCCCAGAGTTCTGTTCTCTGGGGCCGTGGTATCGGCGCTGTCTTCCACCACGGCTCCCCGCTCTTCAGCCACCTCCGGCTTCCCCGTCCCGGGGCTGCGGCTCCCGGCGCCTGAGGTCTGTCTTCTCACAATCCCGCAGGGGGCGCCCCAGCCCGAGCGCGCCGCCCGCGGGGAGGCGGGATGGGAGCCCGGGGCGGGTGTGGGGGGGTGTCCCGGCTATAAAGCGTGGCCGCCTCCCACGGCGCCGGGACAGCTGGACCCGGGGCGGTCGGACGGGCGGGCGCCGGTCGAACTCGGGCCGTGCCCGCGGCCAGAGCCGAAGCACTCCGCTCCCCCGGGGCCAGAGCGGGGGCGGGTGGGGGCGCAGGCCCGGGGGATGCTGGGCTCGGTGAAGATGGAGGCTCATGACCTGGCCGAGTGGAGCTACTACCCGGAGGCGGGCGAGGTGTGTCCTCGGGGATGGCGGAGCGGGAAGTGGGGGGCAGGTATCGAGGTGCGGGCTTAAATGGAGCGGGGACCGGGGTTGGGGGCTCAAACGGGGGCCAAGACACCTAGTTGCGGAGTCTAGGAACTAGGGACTTGGAGACCAGGTGTGGGAGTCAGGGACGGGGACGAGCCATGGGAGCGCGGGATAGGCAGGCTACTCGCGGCCACGACTTAAATGGAAGTAAGGAAAATTTAGGTCACACCTTAAGCATGAGAGCCTGGTGTCTTGGCCCCAAAATGCTAGGGATTAAAATTAACAAGCCAAAGATAGGAATCAGAGCTTCAGGGTGGAGGACAGAGTTTAGGCGTTTCAGGAAATGGGGTTCAAAGTTGGGGGACAGATGGAGACTAAGAGATGGAAGAGTTCACCATTAAGGCAAGTCAGCGGTGGGAGCTCAGGGCTGGAACATAGTGTTAAAGATGGGGCTGCGGGAGTGGAAATCAGAATTTAGGTTCAAGGATAAGGATTGGCTGGTGATCTAAGACAGGGTCAGAAATGGGTTGGTGCTCAGGGGTAAGAGATGGATGGAGGCACTCAGATGTGAAGCTTCATTTGGGAGTCTGAAATAACAGGTGGCTCAGAGTTGGGGCTTGGATAGATTGGGGCCCCCAGATGGGGTCAGTTGGGGACCTGAGAGTAGGAAATGCGGACATCAACATTGGTATCTCTACCCACGACCCTCACCAGGGGCTGCAGCGTTTCAGATAGTGCATCTCCCCGCACCCTTGTCCAGCAACCCTTAGCAATTGCTGAAGTCCTCATCCAATCTGAGAGTTATGCGGGTCTAGACACTTAGATTCCTAATCTGGAAGGGAACCGTGGGCTTGAGGAGGAGGTGTGGTGCTGGGATGGCTGGGTTCTCCAGGGAGGCAAGACCTGGTAGTTATAGGGACCCCAGTGTGCCCGAATCTTGGATATGGGGCTCAAAGCTGTAGAATGGGGACTCCTGGAACCCCAGGCTTTTGGGGCTTGGCCAGCTGCCCGGGAGGGGCCAGTCCTGGGTGTGGGGAGGTGTGAGGTGCACGTGGAGTGGGGGGCAGGGCCAACTGGGGAAGAGATTGGGAGTGTTGAGAGGTGGAGGTGGGGCGGCTGGAGGTATCAGTTGTAGAATGGGGAAGGCAGAGACCAGGGTGGAAGGTGCAGGCTCCCAGGTAGAGGGGATCCCTGAGTCACGGTTTAAGGGAACCAACTATAAATCACTATCTCAGGGTCACATCTTAAGAAGTAAATTGCAGGATTGCTTGAGCCCAGGAGTTTGAGGTTGCTGTGAGCTAGGCTGACACCACAGCACTCTAGCCTGGGCAACAGAGTAAGACTCTGTCTCAAAAAAAAAAAAAAGAAGTAAATCGTGGGGGTCTAGTCAGGAGGAGTCAAAATTGGGGGCACAGTCTGGATGGATCCAAGTTTAGAGGACAACGTGTATGGAAATTGTGTGAGAAAGGAAGGGGGACATATTGAGGACAGATGGCAAATTGTGGAAGAACAGATATGGGGGGGCTAGAAATCATTTGGGGGATTCTGTCTGAGGGTCCCCACCATCTTCCCATCAGGTGAGCCAACCTCTTCCCCTTGGGTCAGAACCATGGGCAGAGAATATCTGTATTCAACTTGCAACTGAGAACCCCCAAAGCACCTCTTGCCTACAGCACTCTTCTGCTGGGGTGATATTGAAGGCTGCTCCCTGCCCAAAGGAAGCTTGGGAAATTACCACCCTGGGCATCCCTGCTGGCCTCAGGTTCCTGCAGATCAGCTGGCCCAGCTGCTCCCCCACTTTAGAGATGGCAAATCTAAGCCCGGAAGAGTGCCGGGGTCCTGGGTTGAGTCTGGGACTAGAAAACGAGGCTTCTGGCTTCACACTACTTTCCTCTGCTCCCTGTCACACCCTTTCCCCAGAGACAATAAGGAAATAAAAAAGAAGAAATTCTAGCCTCCTAATGTAGGGGTGCAGGTCCCCTGTGGGCTTTCCCCCCAATCTCAGCCCCACCCTGGCGGGGGAGATCCGGTTCAGACCCGGACACCAGGGCTTCATCCCAGCCCTGGGCGTGGGAAAGCCTAGGGTGGATTAGGGCAGCTGGAGTGCTTGAGGTCAGACCTCAAGGAGGACTTCCGGGAGGGTGGAGAGCCAGAAAAGGGAGGCCCCGGGGTCCCAATCTGTCGTACTCTGAGATACCAGAGAGCCGGACTAGGTTGGAGAAGGAGGGTGGGGGGGTCATAGGGATTTAGGAACTCTCTGTGTACCCCCCTGAATCCAGCACCTTCTCCACTCCTCTTTCCTTATCCTGGGGAGGGGGTAGAAGCCACCAACCAGCGGGGAGACCGGGGCGTGGGGGGAGGGGAGAGCTGTGGCTCCAATTTCACCTGGAGACTTCTGGGGAGCTGCAGATGGAGGAAATGGGACAGAGAGATACACAGATGTGCTGAAGGAGGAAGGGGGTGCAGGCAGGAGGGGAGAGGGGTGCAGATTGAGGTGTAGATGGGGGAGAGACAGTGCCACGGAGGGGAGAAAGAGACGGGGAAAGAGAGATGGGGGAACAGATGGAGATGGGGGAGGGGAAGGAGTTAAACGTACTGAGACAGGGACAGAGAGGGACAGATAAACACAGAGACAGAAACAGCCAACAGAGAGATTCAAAGAGACGAGAGAAAAGAGCTACCTGGAGAGACATTTGAAGTAGAGAGGGCAGAGTTTCTTCACTCAGGCCTGGGGTTGGTTGCCACCTGGCCCTGGCCCCCTAAGGGACCCTGGTAAGAACCTTTTCTCTCTGGACCTTGGGACGTGCAGACACTTAAAGTGGCAGGGACTAGACAGTATCCACTAACCCGCAGCCACCGTGGCTTTGGCCAGAGCTATATATAGCAGCAACCTCAGTGCCATGAGACCCCAGGCTGCAGGAGAGGACAGGGCAGAAGGGCACATGGGGGATGGGAGAGAGAGGTTTGGGAGATGGTGCGTGAGAGGAGCAGTTACAGACAGAAAGAGAGAAACCATGGTCCAGTGCTTTTGTTTTCCTTGTTTATCCTGTTCACTGTTGTCTTCCTGCTAGACTGTCAGCTCCCTGAGGGCAGGCATTTCTGTCTGTCTTGTTCACTGCCTTGATAGCATGATGCAAAATACAGGTCTGGAGCCAGACTGCCTTGGATGCAGAATCCCAGTTCTACTCCTTCCTTGCTGTGTGACCCCAACAACCTCTCTGGGCCTTGGCTCATTCAGCTGTAAAATGGGCAACATAATAACGCCTCCCCCCATGGCACGATTGTAAAGATTAAAGGAGACCGTTCCCGTGGGGTGCTTGGAGCAGTGCCTGGCAGAGTAGCTGGCCGATAAGTACTTGTTGAATGGATGACAGATTATACAGGGTTATTTAGAGAGATGTAACAATGCCTACCTTGTTTCATTGAGCTTAAGATGTACCTTTTTCCCCCATTTAAACATTTCCAAAAATGAGATGCATGTACAGTCAATGGTGTCTAAGGATTTTAATTGAGTGTTTTTTCCTATTTGTATATAAAATAACACTGCAACTTACAGTGAAGTCTTAGATTTGAAGATATACAGTAAATAAACAGACAATGTATATTAGATTGAAATGTGTGATTTCTGATATTCAAGCATTTTGATCTATATATAAAAACTAATTTTATGGCCGGGCGCTGTGGCTCACGCCTGTAATCCTAGCTCTTGGGAGGCCGAGGCGGGCGGATTGCTCAAGGTCAGGAGTTCAAAACCAGCCTGAGCAAGAGCGAGACCCCGTCTCCTGACTATAAATAGCAAAGAAATTAAATTGGCCAACTGAGTATTATAATATTAAAAAAAAAAAAAATGTAGCCGGGCATGCGTGGCAGCCAATGCCTGTAGTCCCAGCTACTTGAGGCTGGAGGCAGAAGGATCACTCGAGCCCAGGAGTTTGAGGTTGCTGTGAGCTTATTGCGGTGACGCACAGGCACTCACTCGTAGCCTGGACAACAAAGTGAGACTCTGTCTCAAAAAAAAAAAAAAAAAAAAAAAAAAAAAAAAAAAAAACTAATTTTATAACCTAAAACATTGATGGAGAGCTACATATATATATTAGATTGTTAGAGAGTTATAATAACTACTTATTATTAAAATTATTAAAATCTTGTTGGTCTCAGGACCCCTTCACCCTCTTAAAAATTATCGAGGATCTCAAACACTTTCTGTTGACATGAGTTATGTATATCAATATTTACTGTATTTAAAAATTAAAACTGAGAAATTTAAAAAATATGTATTGAGGCCGGGCGTTGTGGCTCACGCCTGTAATCCTAGCTCTTGGAGCCGAGGCGGGCGGATTGCTCAAGGTCAGGATTCAAAACCAGCCTGAGCAAGAGCGAGACCCCCGTCTCTACTATAAATAGAAAGAAATTAATTGGCCAAGCTGATATATATATTAAAAAAATTAGCAGGCATGGTGGCGCATGCCTGTAGTCCCAGCTACTCGGGAGGCTGAGGCAGAAGGATCACTCAAGCCCAGGAGTTTGAGGTTGCTGTGAGCTAGGCTGACGCCACGGCATCTACACTCTAGCCTGGACAACAAAGTAGGACTCTGTCCTAAAAAAAAAAAAAAAAAATATGTATTGATTCATTTTTAGATGGCAGTCATTTGTTAGTGTAAATAAAGTATTTTTATTAAAATAACTATATTTCAAAAAAAATTAGCAAGAACAGCAGCACTGTTTCATTTTTGCAAATCAAGTCTGGCTCAATAGAAGAAAGCTGTATTCTCATAGCTGCTTCTATTGCGACGTCACATGTCACTCATGAGAAAGAGTGAAAAAGGCCAGTAATATCTTCGCATTATTTTGAAAATAGTTTTGACTTTGTGGATACCCTAAAAGGGTTTCAAGGAATCCCCAGGGTGTCCCAGACCCTGGAGGACCACCAAAAGCATGACCTTGAGTATATGGGGGGAGGGATAGAGTAGGGGTGAGATGGGGGAGAGGAGGGGGCAGAGAGGGGGTGCATTGGGAGGGGGAGATGGCTGTCTACAGAGAGAGGTAGTGGTGCAAGGTTCCTATACAGGAGGCAGGACAGACAGATGGACACACGGTGGGTCCTGCGATCCTTTGCTGACCAACAGAGTGGAGCCCCACTGATCCCTCCCCGTCTCTCTTTCTCTCCCTGCAGGTCTATTCTCCAGTGACCCCGGTGCCCACCATGGCCCCCCTCAACTCCTACATGACCCTGAACCCCCTAAGCTCTCCCTACCCTCCCGGGGGGCTCCCAGCCTCCCCACTGCCCTCAGGCCCCCTGGCACCCCCGGCTCCCGCAGCGCCCCTGGGGCCCACCTTCCCAGGCCTGGGAGCCAGCAGCGGTGGAGGCAGCAGCTCAGGGTACGGGGGCCCGGGCCCAGGGCTGGTGCCCGGGAAGGAGATGCCGAAAGGGTACCGGCGGCCCCTGGCGCACGCCAAGCCACCCTATTCCTACATCTCGCTCATCACCATGGCGATCCAGCAGGCGCCGGGCAAGATGCTGACGCTGAGCGAGATCTACCAGTGGATCATGGACCTTTTCCCCTACTACCGGGAGAACCAGCAGCGCTGGCAGAACTCCATCCGCCACTCGCTGTCTTTTAACGACTGCTTTGTCAAGGTGGCACGCTCCCCAGACAAGCCGGGCAAGGGCTCCTACTGGGCCCTGCACCCCAGCTCAGGGAACATGTTTGAGAATGGCTGCTACCTGCGCCGCCAGAAACGCTTCAAGCTGGAGGAAAAGGCGAAAAAAGGTGGCAGTGGGGCGGCCGCCACCAGGAACGGGACAGGGGCTGCCACGGCGACCACCACCCCGGCTGCCACAGTCGCCTCCACGCCCCAGCCCCCGCCTCCAGCCCCGGAGCCTGAGGCTCAGGGCAGGGAAGAGGTGGGGGCTCTGGACTGTGGCTCACCCCCTCCCTCCACCCCCTACTTCACTGGCCTGGAGCTCCCAGGGGAGCTGAAGCTGGACGCACCCTACAACTTCAACCACCCTTTCTCCATCAACAACCTGATGTCGGAACAGACGCCGGCGCCTCCCAAACTGGACGTGGGGTTCGGGGGCTATGGGGCTGAAGGTGGGGAGCCGGGGGTCTACTACCAGGGCCTCTATTCCCGCTCCCTGCTCAATGCATCCTAGCTGGGGGCAGCGGGGACACGGCGGTGGTGTGGCTGTAGCTCACAGCATCAGGCTCTTGGGGCCTGATCCTTCTGGTGACACTTTGCTTGTCACATTGGGTAACATCTTGGTCCATCTGTTCCTTACTGTGATGACTGCTGTCTCTGTGAGCATCATTTTGGTCTATCAGGTACTGTGATATCTTGGTGGACCCACTGGGTACCTGGAAGACTGCCATGTTGGTTGGCGTTATTGGTTGATCCACTGAGTGCTTCGATGGCCGCCATCTGGGATGCCGTCTCGGTGGGTCCTCTGGGTGCTGTGATGGACATCTCCTGACTGACCCTTGGGTGTGGAGGTGATACCATTTCATCTCCTTTGACCCATTGGGAGCTGTGGTCACTTCTTTCTTGGTGGACTTCTTGGCATAGCATATGCCAAGTTGGCCACCATCCTGGAGAACACCTTTTTTGGCCCATTGAGTGCTTTGATGGCCACCCTACTGGCTGGGTGACTTTATCAGTGGGCCACTGTGCCCCATGATAGCCACCACAGCCTCATGGTGGCTGAGCCATCACCATCTCTTTGGTGTGGGTTGGGTGAAGGGTGGAGGTGAGAATACACCTTGGTTTTCTCTGAAGGCCATCTGCCTCTCTGGTCCAGGGGGGACCCGAAAGGGCTGGTCAGGGTGTGGGGAATGTCTACTGAAGTCTGGTTCTTGCCTGGGAAGCGGGGCACTGGCTGTGTTTGACCATTAAAGGCACCATTGCCACCTCTTAGGAATGTCTCTCTTCCTTGGCGGGTAAGCCCTGTGGGGCCGAACACCCGGATTTCTGTCCCCCCGGCCCCTCGCCTTCCTTACCCTAGAGCTGGCTGCCTCTGGGGGAGGGGCTGAGGGAGGCATCGACCTGACCTTTGGCTCTTTGCTGTCCCTGACCCCAAGGACAGTTTGCTCACAGATAGCAGCCCCCGCAGCAGTGGGGCCAGGGCAGCAGGGGGAGGTGGCTCTGCGGTGACCAAGGCCATCTCCCTACCCCCACTTCCCAGTCACACACACCCCTCTAGCTCTGAGGCTCAGGCAGCCTAGGGGCTGCTCAATTTTTGGCTAAGCTGGGGAGGAGGAAAGGACAGGCGAGGCGTTAATGGAAGGACTGGAGATGGTGTGCGTGCTGGGCGTACGTGCGTGTGTGTGTGTGTGTGTGTGCGCGTGCACACGTGCGCTGGGGGTTTTGGGGTATCACTGTGCTCGTTGAGGTCCCCACAGTGTACTGCAGGGTGTTACCTATTGTCTGTGTCCCTCAGTTGTGTGGCTTTGTGTGTCTCTTCATACTCTGGGCGTCTTGTGCATGTGTCATTATTGTTTTGTGTGTGTGGTTCTCTTTGTGCACCTAACCCTGGGTCCCTCTAGTCAGGTGTGTCTGTTTGTCACTTTGCCTGCCTACCCTCAGAGAGCGTGCATGTGTGAAGACATCCACCTGACAGGTCTGCCCGTCATGGTCATTGATGTGAATCTCTGTGAGTCAACATGTGTCTGCATGTTTAAAAGAAAGTATGTGTGTTTGTGTATGATGCCTGTCACTGTTGTGTTTGTGTGTGAGCATGTGTGGAGAGTCTGCCAGGCCTGGCGTGTCTGTCACTTTTGTGGGTGTGTAGGCAAAGAGCTGGGTCCTCCTTTGGCCATGGTGGGCCTCTGGGTTTGGGATCTGGGTGTCTGTCCCTCCAGGTCTCTCCCGAGGCTCTGAGTCCACCTGTCTGCCACTCGGGGTGGCTCTTTCCATAACACAATGGTGCACTTCGCACCCCTCCTCTCAGGGTGGAAACTGAGGCCAGGAATGGGAAGAGACTGGGCCAAGGTCACTCAGCAGTGGAGCAGGTGGGCAGGACGGGTCTGATAATGTCTTTTCCTCTCGTTGCCTTTGCCCGTCTTGGTCGTTGGCTCTCTGGCCGTTCATTCATTTATTCGGCCAGCCAGCCAGCCATTCGTTCATTCGAACACCAAAGACTTTGCCTGTGTGTTCATTCTCCTGTGTGTGCGTGTGCGTGTCTCCCCGTGTGCGTGTCCACCTTTCTCCTTGTCTCTTAGGGTCATCTCTTTCTGTGCCACTTTATCCCTGTCCCTTCCTCTCTGCCTTTATCTGTCTCTTGATTTCTTTGAAATGCTGCATGTCTGTCTCTCATATGGTCTGCCCTGTTCTCTCTCTCCCCCCTTCTTTCTCTCCATTGCTTCCACTCGGTCCTGCCCTCTCTCTGGGTCTCTGGGTCTCTGCCCCCGTCTCTCAGGGCCTCTGACTTCCTTTCTTGGGGTCTGTCTCCCCTCATTCCTTTTCTCGATCTCTCATTTCCCTTCTCCTCTGGCCTCCCTCCCTCTCCCGGCTCCCTGAGTTTCCGCCTCTACCTGCCACCTCGCAGGCCAGGCCCTCTATTTCTGTCGCTGTGCCCGCCTTGCCAGCTGCGTGTCACCCTCCGCCCCCTGCCGTGCTGGCTCCCTTGTCCGTCCCACCAGCCTCGCTGTCCTGGGCAGGCTGGGGAATTCCTCCTGGTTCCTGGAAAAAACAACTGGGGCCGAGAGAAAGGCCCTCAGTCTCCCCGGGCACCCGCCCCCCTCCCTCGGGCCTGGGGGTCTCTCCCTGAGTCGGCCAGCCCGGGGCAGGAAGCCCTGTGGTTTCTGGCTTCTCCCAGGCGGCCTCCGGATCTGGCCCCCGCCCCCCGGCCAACAGCCCAAATATTATTCCGCGGGAGGAGCCGGTGGTGGCGGGAGGAGGCCCAGGCTGAAAGAGGCTTTCAGGGCGGCCAGGCCTGGGGCTTCCTGTCCCCAGGCTCGGGCCTCAGGCCGCCCCAGTGGGGACCTCAGGTGGCCGGAGGGGCGGGGTGTTGTTGTAGGGTCCTTGGGGGAGGGTGGGGCCATCCGTCAGGGTGTCTGGTGGCCACCGGCTCTGCTGGCTGGCGTGGGCAGGTGTGACCCCCACCCCAGGGACAGCCGGCTGATGTCCAGCGTGGAAAAGTACCACGGTCAGACGTGGGACGCATGGACAGACATGGGTTTGCCAGGGACCAGGGATGGGGGAGCCTTAGGGACACTGGCGGCCCTGGGCTGTGGGCCTGAAGTGACATAGTCCGAGAAAGGGGCCGTGGATACGGAAGCAGAGGCTGGGGAAGGGTCCCAGCTGTGGGCAGAGGGTTGTCTGCACTGGGAGGCAGGAGATGACGACGATGACAATTGTCAAAAGCTGCTAGGGTTTACCATATGTCCGGCACTGTAGGAACACCTTTTAGAACTAATTGGCTCAATCCCTCCTGCTCCCCTCAATTTTATTGTTGGTGAAACAGGCACAGAGAGGTGAAGTGACTTGCCCAGGGTCACACAGATAATGAATGGGGTGCCAGGGCTTGAACCCAGGCCATCTGGTCCCCAACCTGCACATGTGGGGGAACAGCCGCCCAGCAGAGCCCTGGGCCCAGGCCCTCCCTGGTGGGCCCCCCTTCCCACCACACCTGCTATGGGAAGAGATGGGGACACCCCCAGAAGCCACACACGCACTTGTAACCAGGCAATTGACAAGTATTGTACGTGCGAGTCAGTGTGTTTGGTGTCACTGTACCTGTCGCTTCCATGTCACTCAGTGATGTGCCTGTTTGGTGTGTTACCATGCGTCCTCATGTCTGTGTCTGTCACTGCGCTTGTGCAGGTAGCTGTGTATCTCTGTGTGCATGTGCGTGTCACTGTTCTGTCACAGTCTTTGTGTCTGTTCATCACTGTGTATTTTGTCACTGTGTCTCTGTGCCTATCACCACATTTGCCTGTCACTGTTTTCTGTGTGTATCACTGTGCGTCTGTCATTATGTTTGGTCTGTGTGTATCTGTCACTGTGTGCTATAGTGGGTCTCTGTGACTATTTATGTCTCTGTCACTCTGGACTTGTTGCTGTGGCTCTGCCTATATCTGTCACTGTTTGTCACTGTGTCTGTCCCTCTATGTGTCACCATCTACCCAGGTGTCACCATGCGTGTTACTCACTGCCCAGGCCACAGGTGGGTGTGTCAGGCCCACGGGTGCCAGGGCTGGAGCCCAGCCCATCCCACCCTGGCCAGGCGCCTGTTTGCAAGGCCGGCCCCGGGCAAACACCAGGATCCGGAACCCAAGGGCCACCTCCCTCACCTCCACTCCCTGCCCCACAGCCTGCTCTGGGCTGGGCTAGACCAGAGCCCCCCAGACCGGGGAGATGTGCCCTGCCCTCCCCCCACTCTCGGGCACCGGCCTGCCCACGCCCCCAGCCTTGGCCTTGGCTCTGTCCGTCTCTGTGTGTCCCTCTGCACGTGTCTCCTGGCCACTCTGTTTCTTTCTGTCCCCGCTTCCTCTCACCTGGGCTCTTCTGTGCTCTGCCTTTCTCTGGCATGACCCTTGTCTTCATCCTGCCCCTGTCCCTCTGACTTCTGTCTCTCTTCAAAAGAGCTCCAGCTCTCTGCCTGTTTTGTCACCGGGTCCCATTTGTATCACCCTGCTCCCTGCCACTTGCTGGCTCCCTCTGGGTGTGTCTTGGCAAGTCTGACTGTAGGTTTCTCTCTCGCTCTCCTTCTCTTCTGTCATTGTGTCTCTTAGCCCGAGCCTGCTAGTCTTGGGCACGATCTGTGGGTTTCCAAGCCCCCACCCCCCACAGGGCCGACTCTGTCATGCCCAGGCCCTTAGGGGAGCGCTGCCCCCAGGCTCCCGCCCCCGCCGCTGGTATATATATAAAGGTATATGGACATATTATTTATATCTGTACCCGGGGGCAGGAGGGGCAGACACTGGCGCCTTTGTGTAGCCGCTGCCCGCTGCCCGCCACTCCTCTCCCTTCGTCCCTGCCGCCCGCCCGCCCCCACTCCCCCCGCACAGAAAGGTTCCTGTGGGGCCTGCCAGCTTCCTCCGCCTGAGGTGTGAGTGGGCACGCCACGAGCGAGGCGGGCAGGGGGGCCTGGGGGCTTTTTCCAGCCCCAGGGAGCTTTCCAGATGGGGAGGGCTCTGGAAGGAACGGGACTTCTCAGTCAGCCGAGCTGCTGTCTGTCTGCATCTGCTGTCCCTGGGTGTCCCCTGGTCCTTAGCCGGACTCTCCTTGGGGGTCTCTGAGTCCATCCATCCATTTAGATGTTGCTCTGACTCCTCTGTTGGCCTGGGGTCTCACGCACGCACGCACGCATGCGCACACCGTCGGCAGGCGTTTGTGCTAGGTAGGCCCCCCCCCCCCCCGTTGAGCACTGGACACACAGATCCATGCCCGTCGCCACTGATTCTGTGCCATGTCTGCCTCATCTGCTCCATCCCTTCACCCACTGCTTGAAAGCCTCCACCTGTTCCTATTAAAACAAAATCCAAAGTTCTTGTCGTAGCTGACAGCCCCCCTCGCCACTCCCCTACCATCTCCCTGACTTCATTTCCTACATCTTCCTCCCTTGTCATAGCTGCACTGGCCACCCGGCTGTCCTGAGACAAAACAAGCAGGCTCCTCCCACCTCAGGACCTTTGCACATACTGTTCACCCAGATTTCCCTGGGCTCACTCCCTTGCCTTCTTTTTCTCGGTAGAGGCGGGGTCTCACTATGTTGCCCAGGCTGGTCGCAAACTTCTGGCCTCAAGTGATGCTCCCGCCTCCGCCTCCCAAAGTGCTGGGATTACAGGCGTGAGCCACCGCGCCTGGCCCTTCGCCTCCTCCAGTTCTCAGTGTCGTCTCCCCAGTGAGCCCTTCCCTACATCCATCTCTAAAACAGCAGCCTCTATTGCTCTCTGCCCCCTTCCCTGCTTTATTTTTTCTTCTTAGGAGAAATAGGACAGCTCCATGGCTGCCATATTCTATGGTCCTGTCTGTATCTCCCAGCTGAATGCCAGCCTCACCAGAGCAGGGGCTGAATTCTGTCCCCTGCTCTATCCACAGCAGCTACCCCAGTTCTTGTCACACAGTAGATGCTCAATAAATACCTGTTGAGGGAGAGAAGCAGCCCATTAATCTGTCTATCCCTTAAACCAGTCCTGTGCTGGGTGATGCTAGAGACACAGTGGTGACCAAGACAGCCCTGGCCCTGACCTTAGGGGCTCACAGTCCAGCTGCCAGACGGTGATGACCCGGAACAGGCAGGGCTGGGATTGGGGGAGCACTGGGAAACCTGGGAGCCCAGAAATGGCACCTGATACAGCTTTGGGATCAGGGAGGGCTTCCTGGAGGAAGTGTCAGCTGAGCTGGAAGATGAGCAGGAGTGAGCCAGGCCCTATTCTGATCACTGGGGACCAAATGACCAAAATAGACCCGGCCGTGCCTTTCTCCCATTTTCTGCCTCCGTCTCACAGAACCTTAAAGTTTGAAGATATCTTAACTCTAGTTCGCACCTGTGCTTTCCCCATCTCAGCCTCTCACCTGCTCTTCTTCGCTCCCTTCCCTCTGTACCCCCGTCTCCCCTCCATCTGTGTCTATTGCTGGCATCTCACCGTGTGTCCCAGGATCTCTCAACTTCTCCAGCTATTTCTCCTTTTAGTTCTATTTCTGAACACCTGTCTGTCCCTGCCTCATCTCCCTGGGTCTCTGGCTCCAGTGTCCCCTTGTCTCATGTCCCTTTGCATCTCCTCCTCCCCACCTGTTGTGCCCCATCGTTCCCCAGGTCTCTCTCTACAGCTCCTCTGTTCCCAAGTCTCTTCACCTACTCCCTGATTCCCAAATAAATCCAGAACCCTTCCACCCCAGCCCCACCCTGGCACTGGGGGAAGGGGGACCGATCCAGCCCCCCACACCCACACAGGTCAGGCCTTCTGCTCTGTTAATGGTTAACCCAACCTCTATCTAGAATACACACCAGCCAGGCTGGGGGTGACTCCCCTGCCCCCCACCACCTACCAGCTGTTCTTAAAGGACCAGGTGTCCTCCACAGCTCTTCAGCTGTCATGGAGGCACAGGACCCAGGTGTCTGGAGGCCACAAGCCCTGAGGATTTGGGGGAGCGGGGGTACCCAGTGCTCGAGCCTGCAGAGTGGGGGTCAGGGAAGGCTGGGGAGGGGAGCCCAGGCACGGGGCACCACCAGGCAGTGTCTCCCTTGCCCCAGGCTTATCGCCTGGTGTATTTAATCAGGGGTGGTTTTCCAAGCCCTGCCCAGAGCCCAGACTGGCAGTGCCAGGGGTGACAGAACACCTGAGCGCTGATGGGGGTGGGGAATGGGACTCTTTAGTCCAAGAACTTAGGATGATGCCCGAGGGTCCTTAATATTTGGGAGTTAGGACACATGGGTCTGCAAGTATGAATGGGACACCTGGGTGACTGAGAGGATGGGTCAGGACGTCAGGATCCTCCAGATTTAGCTGATGAAACACCTGGGTTCTTGAGATCTGGGGGCAACCTTAGGTCTCAGAGCATTTGACAGTGTTGCGTGGTGGCAGGACACGGTCACTCCCCATCTCTCCGTCCATCTGTTGGCCTTTGCGCCCAGCATCCCCCCTTCCCGGTATCTCTGCCTCAGGGTCGCGGAGGAGGCCACAGAGGTGGGGGCTGGGCACCTTGGGGCCTCCCCCTCCCCTTAACCCCTGCTTTGCCGCGGCCCGCTCAAGCCCCGCCCCCTGACGTCAGCAAGCAGGAAGTCCTGGTTAATGATCAGCCACCCGACAGGTGCGGGACAAGGCCGCGCACATCAGAGGCAGCCGCGGGGGAGTGCCTTTTACCCCGCTTGTCACAGGGTTCCAGGGTGGCCGCCGAAGGGGCTTGTCTCCTGAAATGAGGGTGGGGAGGCTAGTTAAGGCTTCCCAGAGGCGAGAAGTGGCCACCTTGTTTCCAGGTATCTGTTAGCTTACCCCGTAAATTTCCTTTCCTTGGACAGTTCCTCCAGCAGTCTAGCCTCGATTCCCGCCCTGCCCAGCAAGAACCCAGGGCCCGTTTCTCCGTAGGACGCTTCCACTGCCTCTTTCCCCTCCCCTGGTGGGCGCCGAGTCCTCCACATTCTGGGTAGATAGGGGATGGGCCAGCTACGTAAGGGTAACCTATTCCCGAGCTTGTCGGTGGCTCCCACGCAAGAGCCACCCCCTCACTGAACCTCAGTTCTGTCATCTGGAAAACAGGCGACAGCTAAAACGTCTGACCAGTGGATAGCACTTGTAAAAAAGCAGCTGGCGGGATCGCCTGGGTGAAGGGCGCCACCTGGAGGTTACAGCGCAACGTCCTAGTCGTTGCAGGATCAGTTCTGTCCCAAGGGGGGCGCAGCATCTCGCACAACTAAGGGACCAAGAAAGGAAAAAAAAAAACCCATCTTTCAGTTTATTGAAGGAGGAAAAGGGGGCAGGAGAAGGGGGGCCATAAATTGCTTTTGCCTCATTTATAAAGAGCGAGTTTTTAGGAGACACCCTTCTCAAGGGGGACCTCTCCCCCAACTACAAGCAGCAGCAAAGCCAAGCCAAGGAGGGGAGAGGGAAACTGGAGGGGGCCAAGGGACCCCAAACATTCCCTCAGACAGGAGCCACAAGCTTTCTCCCCCCACCCACAATGCATCTACCCCAGGGGACCCAGTCGGGCGGAGGAGGGGGTATGTACACAGGTAGGGGTGGCACTGGGCTGGGCGGGGGAGGGAATAATTTATCCGCAGAAGCGGAGGTGGCAAGGGAGCAGGGGGCAGTAGCCTGGAGGCAGTGGTGGCCTAGGGGTCCCGTTCTTTCTTAACCTTGATGTCTCCCGCAAGGATGGTGGCGATCTCGCCCTGCATGAAGGCCCAGGGGACGGAGGAGCCCACCAGCGGGCACTTGTCTCCACTCGGGCAGTACACCTCCCCGGCAGGGCCCTGTGCCTTGATGAACTCCCGTGAGCAGGGAAAGCAGAACTTGTGTCCGGGCACCGAGGGGCACTGGACGAAGTGGGTGTCTTCCAGCCGCTCCCGGCACAGGGTACAGCACAGAGGGGCCCCGGGGGTCGCCCCAGTGCCGCTACCACCCCCACTGACAGCTTCGGCCCCCGCTGTGGGACTGACTTCTGCCTCACCGTTGCGTGCCACCAGGCGATGCTGGGTTGGAGGCTGGGCCGTGGAGGAGGCCGCGGGGCTGGCGCCCCCCGCCCGCACAGGGCCCCCACCCCCGCCAGGGTCCTTGGGTGAGTGGCCCAAAGCCTCGGCCACATTCTTCAGGGCGGCAATGGGTGAGGGCACACCGGGGGTTTCAGCGGAGAATGGGCCGCCGGGTGCCACCCAGTGTCGCTGCTGCTGCTCCTCGGTGGTCATCTTCCCAGCTGCCTCTCCCTCGGGCTCGGGGGATGCCTTGCGACGGCGCGGCGTGGGAGCCAGGTTCCGGGACGGGGCGCGCGGCGGAGGGCCACACAGAGCGGCGGGCGCCGGCTCTGGGTACTGCTGGGGCAGGGCCTCCGCAGGCGCCGGCTCGCGGAAGGTGCGCACACCGTCGGTGAGCAGCTCGCCCAGCTGGCGCCACTCTCCCGAGCCGTGCCGGCGCTCGTATTCGAGGTACTTGAAGCCAGACGAGGCCAGTGCCTTGCCCGGCTCCCGCAGAGCGTCGTGGAACATCTGGCGAGCCACGGCCAGGACCCCCGCGTACACATTGCCGGAACCACAGGGGTATTCGGTGAAGAGCTTCAGCTCGAACTCATAGCCTGGAGGGCGGGCGGTAGCATCGAAGGCGAACACGCGCCCCACCAGCCCGTGATCCTTCTTGAAGCGGACGTTGAAGGGGGCACAGGCGGACAGCGCCAGTAGCTGTTCCCGCACGGCCTTGGGGCGCCCGTGCCACTCCTCTGCCCGGCCACGCATGGCCTCGTTCAGTTCTGCCAGACAGTCCGCATTCCTCTGCTGCTTCTCCTTCTCGAAATCGGAGCCGAAGATGGGGCGGGCAGGACTCAAGCCGGGTGCCAGCGTCAGGCCTCGGCTTCCTAGGCCAGACACCGCAGCTGCCAGCAGCCCGGGGGGCATCAAGCCAGGCATGGAGCCAAGCAAGGCCCTCCGCGCCCCCTCCGCCACGGCCTCCTCACGGCCCAGTCCATTGGCCAGGCGGGACCCCAGAGTGTACTCCAGGGCGGGCGAGGGCAGGGGGAGGCGGCCTGACGATGTGGCCCTGTCATAGCGGTCCTGGCCTGAGACGCCACCGCCAGTCCCGGAGGGCTGGGCCTGGGCCTGCGGGGGCGGCAGCTGCGGCCCCTGTGCGGCGGCCGCAGCCAGGTCCTTGGTGGCCGGGTGCTTGAGGGCAGGGGGCCCAGGCGAGCGGCCCTCGGGGAGCACGTGGCTGCGCTTCAGCTGGCGGGCAGCATCGATGAGCAGCTCGATGCGGTCCGCGCCCTCGAAGTTCACGCAGCCGCGGCACACGGCCTCGCTGAAGTCCCACACCATGGCCCACGGCATCTTGGGCAGGTCGCACAGGTAGCACCACTGGCGGCGGGACGCCTGCACAGACGCCATGGTCCCCGCGCGCGCGCCGCCGGGCCCCCGCGTTCCACCCGCCGCCGGCGTTCGCTCCGCGTCGCAGATGCGCGGTTCGCCGCCCCGGGACGGCACGAGCCACGGGCCGGCCTCCGACTCGGCCTCCCCGCCGGATCCAGGCCCGGCCCCCCTTCCCCGCCCCCTGGGCCCGGAGCCTTTTTCCTCACTCCCGCCTCCCTCGGCAAGGCAGGCTGCAGCGCGTCGGCGCCCCCGCCCGGTCCGCGCTCCGAGCGCGGCGCACAGCTCGGGCCCCGCGATGGGCCGCGGGCGCCGCCGCCTCGGGCTCCCGCCGCCGCCGCCGCCGCCGCCTCCACTGCAACGGCCGCCGCCGCCTCCACCTCCTTCTGCCCCAGAGGCCGCTTCGCAGGGAAAGTTACATAACGCGCCGGCAAAGCCTTCTGGGAAACGTAGTCCCGCCGGGGCTGGCTCTTAAAGGGAACGGCGGGCAGCCGGGGCTGGGGGGGTGGTCGTCGCCTCTCCGCGCGAAACCCTCACGAATCCCTGTCACCTGGCCAGGAAGTCGGCGCGCTCAGAGGAGCTCGGGCACAAGGGTGGGGGCAGGGCTGCGGCACGAATGGTCAGTTACTACGGATTCAGAAATTGTGGGAGGTGGACAGGCTGCAGGGAACCCAACTTCTGCTCCGACTTGCTGTGCAGCTTTGGGCAAAGAGTCTTACCCTCTCTGAGCCTCAGTTTGCCCGCCCAGCAAAGGTGGGCCAATGATGGGTCAGGAAGGCAGTAGCTCCTGGGGCGGGGCGGAGAGACCTTGATTGGCTAGTTTCAAGGCTGGGGACGGGAAGATGGCAACTAGGGGCGGGGGAAGTGTTGTCCACTTGGCGCTTCATCCTCACCCAGAATCCCAGGTATCAGCCTCTGGGGCCGGCCACAGCCAGAGAAGGGAGAGGACTGAGGGTTTCCGAGCCAGATACCTGCCTCAGTTCTCCCATCGACTAAAGGAAAGGCGCGACCCAGCGCCCGCCGACTCTGCTCCAACCTCGCCGGCGCGCTCTGGTCTCCAAAGGGTTACATTGTCTGCTTCTCCGCCCCCGGCTCACTACAATTCCCCAAATGCTCTGCGCGCGGACAGACTGACGCACTTCCGCTGTCTGGGAGGTTGGGGGAGGCCTTGCCGATTCTCGCTGTCTGCCCCCCCCAACTTTTGGGGGGCCTTTACCGTGTGCTTTCGGAGCACTGGTTTTGGGGGGGCCCTTGCCCGTTGTTGCGTCCCAATTTGGGGTAAAGGAAGGGGACCACGAGATGACAATCCAGGGGATTGCTGGGGGAGGGCAAGCGCCAGATCACCTTTCCCCCACCTTGAGTTCTCACTACCTGATAGGCCCAACCAGGCTTTGGTGACCCGCAAGTCTTCTTTCCCAGACGTGGGGAACGGGACGAGGCAGTCTTTGGGAGGGCGGAGGCGGCGGGTCTACAGGTCTAACTCACATCAACCCCTTCTTCTCTCTAGGCCTGGGTCCCTGTTAGGTGCTCGCAAATATATGAATGACTATGGTTCTCTCCTCCATCCCTCTGCAACCCCAGCAGTTCTAATTTCAGGTCCCCCAAACTTAAATCTCAGTTTCACAATTTTACCTATCATCTGCATTAAAGATCTTTTTCCCTTGGAAAAAAGATTTATCTACTTTTGTCTCATTGTCGGCAACATTATGTTTCTAATTATGGGTTACATATACTCGCTACCTTAAAAAAAGTTAAAACCATAAAACCATTAAAAATGCCATTCATGTGTCACCTAAAATTGCCTTTGTGCTATTATTTAGTAAACACCAGTGGGAGTTAAGAGTTCTGGCCAGATTCAGGCTTCTGGTGGACTAGACTGGCCTCTGGCAAGTCCCTAAATTTCTCCAGGAAAATGGAGACCACCCCAGACCCTGCTCTTGCTTGGGTACATTCAGATAGAAATGCAAACACACATATAAATGCTTAGCTTGGTGCTTGGCACAGAAAAGAAGTGCCATAAATGGAGGTTGTTTTTAAGCTGTTGCAATTATTCAAACATTCAACCCTTCTTCTGTGCTGGGCAATGCTGGGGATACAACAGTGATCCACGCTTAGGCCTTGTCCCTGACAAGGCTCAGCTTGGTGACAAAGGCAGACGTTAAATTTAAATTTGCTCAAATGATTAAAATTTTTGGTAAGTGCTATGGGGAGTGTGCCTCCTAAGGAAGTAATATTTGAGCAGAGGATGAATAGAATCTAATGTAGGAAGTAAAGACTCCTATATCTTTAGGCCCATTTTACAGATGAGTAAAATGGAGGCCCATGGTTACACAGCTGACCAGGGTTTGAGCCGGATCTGACTCCAAGGTGGTGGTTATTATCTATTTTGCTACCAGGCCCAGCAGCAGGTGTGGGAGTAAAAGAGGACCAGTTCTCGCCTTCATGAAATTATGAAGGAAACATGCCTTAAACACATACAGGCACATGTTCATCTAGAGGCACCATGAAAAGGAACCACAGGCACTGAGAAAGAATCTAAGAGGCAGACCCATCTTAGCCCCAGGGAAGGAATCCAGGACATTCTCCTGAAGGTGACATTAAGGCTGGTGTCTAAAGGGTAGGTAGGAGTAAGATATCATTTGAACCCAGGACTTGATGGCTTTAAGGAAAAAAAAAAAGAGGCTGGAAAACCACCAGCCTCCAACTTCAAGGTGGTGTTGCCTGCCCGTGGAGGGGGTGAGGCAGATGTAGGTGCTGGTCTCCCAGGCCTGTCTCAGACAGAGCCTCGAATAATTGTATTAAAAATAAGTTTATTGATATCTTGTCACCACTGGGGAGCAAAGAAGGGGCCGAGCTCTGCAAGTGAGACAGCATTGGGAGGCAGAGAACCCAAGCTACACTTCCCCAATAAGAACTCCACCCGCATTCTCTCCAGGGTGTAGACCGTTAATCCTCTTCTTCATCCAAATTTTGATTTGTCTCGCAACTCCCACCCCCTCCAAAGTCTGGGTTGCGGAGGCCTCCGTGGGTCAATTGTCTTCAAGTCAAGAACAGGAATTGTTAGGGAAGGGGGTGTGTGCAGACCCGAGAGGTTCCCTCCGCACCCTACACAGGGCAATAATAAATAACATAAAACTGATGGCTTAGAAGTCAGGGTTAAGGGAGGCAGCCAGGCAGACAGCACTGTACCAGAGAGAGGGGCTGGGGGCGCCCATCCACTAGGCCCCCCCAGAGAATCAGGCACTAACTAGCACAGGGAGTGGGGTGCTCGCGCCCCTGGAGCAGGGTGCCAGGGTGCAGCTGGGACGGGCAAGGAGCGTTGCCCCCCTCGACTGCGCCAAGCTGAGGGGGGGCAGGCAGAAGGAGCAGTAGATAGTAGATTTCACGGAGATTTCCATCGGCCCCGCCTCTTCCGTGTAGGAAAAGCTTTTCTCCTCTTGTGTGGGGGTGAGTCATGGGGAGGGAGTGGGGCTGGAAGTGGGCGGGAAGCCCCTTCCTCACTCCTAGGGGAGATGATCACCCCCCTGGCTGCCACCACGGCCCCATCCACAACAGTAGCCACCACGGACACAGGCGCTGGGGTGATCTCCACCTTGGGAGCAGGTGAGGGCAGGACTGGCCTGGGAGGTGGAGGTGGAGGTGGGGGCGGGGGCAGAGGTGGGGGCAGAGGGTCAACTGGGGTTCCCGGCAGAAGGGGCAGCAGGGCGCTGAGGGCCTCGCTCAGTTTGGCCAGTCCCTGTCGAAGGGTGCCAGCTAGCTCCCGGATGGCGTTGGCAGTCTCCTGCTGGGCACGCAGGAAGTCCAGGGAGGGTTCTGGGGCTGGGAGCCTGGGCAGAGGCTGAGGAGGGGATGGAGGGCTGGAGGGCGAGGGTGCCACTTGGATCAGCGGTGGAGGTGGAGGTGGTGGGGGTGGAGGTGGAGGGGCTGGGGGTGGTGAAGACAAGGCCAGGCGGGGCAGCTGGACCGGCTGCAGGACTGCAGGGGGCGGGGACTCACGCTCCTTGGACCGTGGGCAGCCCCCTTCCTGGGGATTGCAGGAGGGCCTCGCCCAGGATTCCGGGCTACTGGAGCCCCCCTTGCTGTGGGCTGGTGTATCTGCAGAGAGAAAGAAACAGAGAGAGAGAGAGGGAGAGATGCATTTAAGGTGCAGTGACCTCAAAATCCTGTCTTGATTTTCCCTTTCACTCCCCATTCTCCTCCTCCCTACCCTAGCCCTGGAGCGATCCTTTTAAAACCTAAGTCGGGGCCGGGCCTGGTGGCTCAGGTCTATTATCCTAGCACTCTGGGAGGCCGAGGAGTCAAAGTCAAGAGTTTGAGACCAGCCTGAGCAAGAGTGAGACCCCTGTCTCTACTAAAAAATACAAAGAAATTAATTGGCCAACTAAAAATATATAGAAAAAATTAGCCAGTCATGGTGGTGCATGCCTGTAGTCCCAGCTACTCGGGAGGCTGAGGCAGAAGGATTGCTTGAGTCTGGGAGTTTGAGGTTGCTGTGAGCTAGGCTGACGCCACGGCACTCTAGCCAGGACAACAGAGCAAGACTCTGTCTCAAAATATATATATATATTTAATCTGGAGGCCTGTGCCAGCTTTAATGGAAACAGGGTCCTGGAAGCTTCCTGCTGGGCCAGGCAGCTTCGGTCTCTCCCAGAGTAAGAGCCAATGTTCTGCAAGGCTGTGAACCACCTGGACCCTGGCCTGCACTGCTGGATCCTGGGGAGGGGGGCAGCTGGCAGGGGTGGGATGGCCAGGGCACTAGAGGGCTCTCTCCACCTAGAACAGCATTTTCCAGTTCAAGCCCCAGCCTGGTGGGTTTCCTGTCTCCACTCACCTGGGGGCTCATTCATGCTCAGGGACTTGGACACAGTCTGCAAACAGAGGCTCCCAGATTCCCCGGCCTAGCCTGAACCTCTGCACTGAGCTCCAGACTCCCATCTCCAACTGTGCACCCTTCACTGTCTAGTGACGCCTCAAACTCACTCGCTCACAGCTGAGCTTCCGGTTGTCCCTCTGCCACCCCATCTCAGCTGATGGCGACGCCATCCTTCCAGCTGCTCCAGTTAAACACCTTCAGTCTTCTTTTTCTTTCCCAAGACACCATCCATGTGCAAATGCCACTGGCTCTGCCTTCAAATTATTATTTCATTTATTTTTCTTTTTTGCCTTCAAATTATTATTATTATTTTTTTTGAAACAGAGTCTCAGCTTTGTTGCCCAGGCTAGAGTGAGTGCCGTGGCGTCAGCCTAGCTCACAGCAACCTCAAACTCCTGGGCTCAAGCGATCCTCCTGCCTCAGCCTCCCGAGTAGCTGGGACTACAGGCATGTGCCACCATGCCGGGCTAATTTTTTCTATATATATTAGCTGGCCAATTAATTTCTTTCTATTTATAGTAGAGATGGGGTCTCGCTCTTGCTCAGGCTGGTTTCGAACTCCTGACCTCGAGCAATCCGCCCGCCTCGGCCTCCTAGAGAGCTAGGATTACAGGCGTGAGCCACTGCGCCCGGCCTGCCTTCAAATTATTAATCAACACAATATCCAACCTCCTCTCTCTACCTTCACGGTCCCCACCCTGGGCCAGCCACCTGCATCTCCATGTCCCACCTGGACTACTGCAGTTGCTGCCTTGCTGAGCTCTCGGCTCCATCCCTTAACCTGAGTTTCTTCTGCAGCCTGAGAGCCAACGACAAGGCAAGTCGGTTAGGCTGCAGGAAAGAAGCTAGTTACGCGGGACCACTTACCATCTGAGTCATTTATATGAAATGTCCTAAACAGGCAAATCTTTTTTTTTTTTTGAGACAGAGTCTCACTCTGTTGCCCAGACTTTGAGTGCTGTGGCGTCAGCCTAGCTCAAGCAACTCAAACTCCTGTGGCTCAAGCGATCCTCTGCCTCAGCCTCCCAAGTAGCGTGGGAATCAGGCATGCGCCACCATGCCCAGCTAATTTTTTGTAATATATTTTTAGTTGGTCAATTAATTTCTTTTCTATTTTTAGTAGAGACAGGTCTTGCTCTTGGTTCAGGCTGGTCTGGAACTCCTGGACCTTGAGTGATCCCGCCGCCTCGGCTCCCAAAGTGCTAGGATTACAGGCGTGAGCCAGCGTGCCCAGGCCTACAGGCAAATCTATACAGATAGTAGATAGATGAGTGGTTGCCAGGGGCTGGGGGGAGATGGGGCCGTTTGGGGAGGTGGGTAGCTAAAAGGGTTTTTTTCTGGAATAACAGAGATGTTCTAAAATTGTGGTGAGGGTTACACAACTCTGTGAATACACGAAAAGCCACTGAATTGTACACTTTAAATGGGTAGATTGTATGGTATGGGGATTGTATCTCAATAAAGCTGTTTTGAAAAATACAAATTAGGCCGGGCCTGTAATCCTAGCACTCTGGGAGGCCGAGGTGGGAGGATCGCTTGAGGCCAGGAGTTCAAGACCAGCCTGAGCAAGAGTGAGACCTTGTCTCTATAAAAATAGAAAAATTAGACAGGTGCGGTGGCGCGTGCCTGTAGTCCCAGCTACTCGGGAGGCTGAGGCAGGAGGATCGCTTGAGCCCAGGAGTTTGAAGTTGCAGTGAGCTATGATGATGCCACTGTACGCTAGTGTAGGCGACAGAGTGAGAATCTATCTCAAAAAAAGAACAACAAAAAAAATCAAGTTAGATATTGTACTTTCTCTGCTCTAACTCTCCTATAGCTCCCATGTCACTCAGGGTAAAAGCAAAGTCCTGGAGGCCCCCACTGCCTCCCTGACCTCAGCTCCTACCCCACCCTCTCTGTCTTGGTTTGGCTCTAGCCACCAGTCCTCAGACACACAGTGGGGCTGCTTCTGCCTCAGGGCTGTGCACTTTCCCCAGACACCAGCCTGGCTCCCACCTTCCGGCTTCTGCTCAGATGCTGCCTCCTGGGGAAGACCTTCCCTGACCGTCATCTAAAGCAGCTCCCGTCCCTTCTCTTCTGTCCCCTAACCCTACCTGAGTGCTCTTACAGCACTTATTGCACCTGGCAAGGTACCGATCTGTGTCTGTTGTCTGTCGCCTCCTCCTGATGCCAGCTCCATCAGGCAGGGCTTTGTTTTGTTCATTGCTGTTTACCCAGCGCCTAGAACAACGGCCAGCACAAAATTTTTTCTTTAATGATAAAACAACCACGGCTTCCAAAGAGTCAGCGCCGATCGGGTCCCGGGCCCCAGGTCCCAGAGCTCCCCAGCACCCATAGGAGATGGGCCGGCCTCTTCCCATGGCTACGCGGTCTCAGCTCTTGCCCCCTCCTCCTCCTTTCTGTGCCTCTTCCCTGTCTCAGGGCCAGTGCACATGCTGTCCCTCGTCCCTCGGGCCACCGTCACACTCCCCCTTGCGCCAGCTCTCGGGGAAGCCTGCCTCCCTCTCTTGTTGGCCAAATCAGATGACCCAGCTCTGCTTTCATCAACAGCCAGTCACCTCTTGCCTTGAATACTGGGGGTCCGGCCAGCCATCGTTGGGGGGCAGGTGGGGAGGCTGGGAGAGAGAGGACAGCCAGAGCTAAGAGTTATGGGACACTTTTCCCGGTGGCCCCTGGGCTAAGCTTTCCTCCTCCACTGGCTCACGGAGCCCTCCCAGCCATTCACTGGGACAGCTGCCATCATGACCATCATCACCTCCCTTTACAGATGAGGCGACTTGGGGCCCAGAGAGAGGTGTCACAGAGCTGATAAAGAGTAGAAGAGGGACTGGAACCCAGGCTGGCTCCAGAGCCCGTGCGTCTAGCCACTCCTTGGGCAGGGGCCTGGGGTACGGGTGTGGGTGGCAAGTCTCCCTTATAAGGGATGTGGGAGTTACAGGCACTTGCAAATGTGGCTTTTCTAGTCTAGTGAGTAAAACAGGGACAGAAAGTAGCCTAGCCCTCTCACCCACAGGGCTCACAGGATTCACAGAAGGACCATTACGAGAGTTAATATATTTATTTGCAACCTCTAGACCTCAGTTTCCCCACCTGTAAATGGGTATGTGTGTGTGGACGGAATGGCTCAATAATAGAACATCTCCCTGAGGGCCATTAGAGGGATGAATTGAGTCACTGCAGGTACAGGGTTCAGCACCATGACTGGCACACAGAAAGTTCTCAAATGTTAGGTCAGAGATAAATGGTCCTTAGCTCTTTCTCCGGTGTCAACAACGATGCACCAGGCTGCCCCAGGCTGTCCCAGGTCCTGTTCCTGTCCTTCAGTAAGAGCAGTTCCTCTTTTATGATTACACAGTGGGTAATCTGCACAAGATTCTCATCAAGGATGCTCCAGGAACGGTCCTACCTCAGGGCCTTTGCACATGCTGTCTCCTGTAGCTAGAAGGCTCTTCTCCCAGATAGCCAACAGGCTCAATCTCTCCATTCAGGTCTTGCTTGAATTTTATGTCTTCAGAGAAGCCCTTCCTGAATCCTGTTTGTACAGCCCCCTTCTATTACTCAACCATCTTCTTAGTATGCTTTACTCATCTTAGTACCGTGTTTCCCTGAAAATAAGACAGGGTTATATATTTATTTTTCCTCAAGACACCCTAGGGCTTATGTTTAGGGGATGTGTTATTTTTTTTAAGTATGGTACAACAATCTACATTTATGCAAATATACCTAAGTCATCTTCTTCTGGAACATCATCATAACTCTCCAAACCCCGAATTCCATCCTGATTTTCTTGCGACTCTATTTCCTTTAGAACCATTGGCCCCAGTCTCTCATGTTGAGCAATAGAGCTCTCACGGGGCAGATGAGAAGGGCTGCTCCTGTTCTTTACCGCTCTGGGATTAAATGCATGGGTTGTACAGATGCACTGCTTAGCCACGCCCATCACTAGGTCTTATTTTGGGGTAGGGCTTATATGGTGCAAATGCCCAGAAATCCTGCTAGGGCTTATTTTATGGGTAGGTCTTATTTTCGGGGAAACACGGTACTTATTACCTTCTGCTATACAATCTGTTTTGGGGCTAACTTGTTTGGGGTCTGTTTACTTCCACTGCAATGTTGGCTCCATAAGGAGAGGGAATTTGTCTTTCTCTCCACAGTATTTCCAGCATCTACCATAGCACTTGCCTTGAAGAGACTCTCCACAGGTGTTTGTTGAACAAATGAATAAATGAAGTGGTTGCACAGCTTCTGAAAAAATGTTTGCCATCTCTGATCCAGTTCAATGGGGCTATCTCCCCACAGACAGACACACTGAGATTTGATTCAAATTAAGAACAAGGGGCTTGGCAGGGTGGCTCACGCCTGTAATCCTAGCACTCTGGGAGGCTGAGGCGGGAGGATTGCTCAAGGTCAGGAGTTCAAGACCAGCCTGAGCAAGAGCAAAACCCTGTCTCTACTAAAAACAGAAATAAATTAATTGGCCAACTAAAAATATAGAGAAAAAATTAGCTGGGCATGGTGGCGCATGCCTGTAGTCCCAGCTACTCGGGAGGCTGAGGCAGGAGAATCGCTTGAGCTCAGGAGTTCGAGGTTGCTGTGAGCTAGGCTGACGCCAAGGTACTCTAGCCTGGGCAACAGAGCAAGACTCTGTCTCAAAAAAACCAAAAAACCAAAAAATAAAACAAGGGTCCCAAGTGATTGTATCTCTTTTCTGTTTCAGACATTTTCATGCCTCCCAAATACCCTCAAGATGAAGTCCAAAGTCCTGACATTGACTTATAAACTACATGTAATCTACTTCTGGCATACCCATGAACTCTCAGTGGATATTAACTGTAGTTATTGCTGGGCGATCTGGCCTAATGGTTAGGTTAAGTGCATGGACTCTACTATCTGCTTCCTGTGTGACCTTGAGTGGGCAAATGAACCTCTCTGAACTGCCTTGTCTGATCATGTCCATGTCCTTACCTTTTTCAAAACCTTTCAGTGGCTTCTCATAGCACTTAGGCTAAAATCCAAAGGCCCAGTATGGCCTGGCCTTTGCTGACCTCTCTGACCTCATCTCAAAACATTTCTTTGCCTCCATCTTTCTGCCCCCACCAACTTCTTTGGGTTTCCCCAACTGGCCAAGCTTTCTTGCTTCCAAGCTGTTGCACATGCTGTTCCCTCTGTAAGAAGCCCTTTTCCAGCTTTTCTTCATTCTTACTCTTTGTGTCTCAACTCTGATATCCCCTCCTCCAGGAAGCCCTACTCCATACCCTCCACTCTCCACCTTCCAGTTGCTCCCCCTCTGGGCTCTCCAACCCCAGCTCTGCTTGCTCTGAGTCATCACTGCGTCCCCCACTGGACTGTCTCAGTCACCAATGTGTCCCCAACACCACCCAGCGCTGGGGGAACAGCTGTAGAAGAAATAATTCCGAGTTAAGGCTAAGCAGAAAGTCTCTGTAGTCAGCTCTCCACATCTCCTCTGCTCAAGACACGCACGGCCTTGGGAAAGTTACCAAATGTCTCCGAATATTTGATTTACAAAATGGTGAAATAGTACCTACCTCACAGCATTGACAATTCTATCAAGAACTTCCAGTGAGCGTTCAGGACGTGCTGGACTAAGCAATTCACCCATATCAACTCACTTAATCTGCACAACCCTTTGAGTGGGGACTGTGTTTAGCTCCATTTTACAGATGCAGAAACTGACACGAAGTAACTTATTCACGTGACAAGTAAGTGGCTAAGTTGTGACTGGAGCCCACAGTCTGCCACCAGAGTCGTTACCCTACCCTGCATTTAAGGAAATCCTGCATGTTCCAATGATCGCAGGCGTGGACTCGCCAGGCCTCCTAGGGCTGCCATTCCTGGCTCTGACAGTCACTCGCCGTGGGAACTGGGGCAAGTCATTCCATTTTTCTGAGCTTGGGTTTCCCCGGCTGTAAAATGGAAGTAACAGCAGCGCCCATCTCACAGGGTTGCAGTGAGGACTGGACGAGCCACATAAAGGACTTGGAAAATCGTGGGGCTCACAGGAGCTTTTGCGAATGTTTGCTCTTGCTAAGGCGACATTGAAAGAACTCACCTGCACGTCGGTCCTCCCTGCGGTCCTCAGACAACACATAGCGTTGGGTGCAGGCGCTGGGAGCGGGCGGCTGTGAGGAGGGGGCCGCAGGGGGCTCCTCGGCCCCAGCACCAGCCCCTGGCCCCGACACAGCCGGCCCCAGGATGGCAAAAATGGTCTCCTCCTCCGCGGAGAAGGCGTCCTCGGCAGTGAGCCCGGTGCCCTGCGTGGAGTGCGGCACGCGGGCCAGCTTCTCTTTGGTGCGTCGCTTGAAGTCGTTCCAGCGCTTCTGCACCTCCTGGCCCGTGCGCTTCCAGCTGGTGATGCCGTTGATCTTGGCGGCGATGCCGTCCCACACGCGCCGCCGCTCGGCCACGCTCACCCGACGGCTCTGCGCGCCGTAGAGCTGCGGGTAGTGGGCGCGCACCTCCCGGATCAGGATTTGGTTCTCTTCGAACGAGAAGCGCGGCTTGCGCAGCCGGGTGGTTTCCTCCGCTTCGCCCGCCGCCGCCGCCGAGGCCATGGCGCCCCCCAACGCCGCCGGCCGGCCGCCTGGCGCATGGGGGGCGCCGGCGCTGCGGGCAAAGGGCGCACGACTCTGGCGGGGGCTCGGCGTCCCCGCGCCGCAGCCCCGACCCAGAGGCTCGGACACCGGCTCCTACATCCCTGGGGCAGGGGTGGGGACAGGGGACGGGGCCAGGAGCGGGCGACCGGCTGCGGGGGGCAGTCGGCAGCGCCTAAGAATAGCTGACAGCGGCGGAGGGCTCATCTTGCGCCGTGCGCGGCGCCGCGCAAAGTGCCACGCCAAGGAGTTGATGGAAATTGGGGGAGGGTCTGGAAGGATGGAGGGAGATGAGGAAAAGTGGAAGCGGAGGAGGCGTCTGCAGGAGTTAGAGGAGAACAGGGGCTTAGGAGAGCAGGAAATGGAAGGAGAACGGGTGTGTCTCGGGGACCGAAGCAGCATGGGGTAAGGAGGTGTTGAAGGGGCAATGCAGCAAGAAGGGGCATCTGGAGCAGACGGGCGCTCTGGTGCCGCGGGCAAGGGGCGTCTGTAAGACCGAAGGGCCCCGAGAAGGGACGTCCAGGAATAATGCTGAGGTGGGTCAGTGGAAGAGCTGGGACGGTAAAATATTAGCGATCAGGGTCCACGGGGATTGTGGGGGCTCTGGGGATAACGCAGGTCCCGGATCAGGAGACAACGAAGGCTACCGAGGGACTCCAGGAAGAGTGAGGGTCGCAGAGGGTGGGGACCGAGTCGGGCCACGGGTCACTCACCGGCGCCGCCGCAGCCGCCGGGGGGTCAGGGCTCCGGCTTCTGCGGCCTCTTCCCTCCCCCCTGCCTCTCTCCCTCCCCTCTTTGGGCCCCGCCTCCGGCCGCCCAGCTCGCCAAGGCGCGTGCGCACCTGGCGCCAGTCCGCCCCAGAGCCCTCACCGCCGGGGTTGCCTTCCCGCCTACCCCAGCACGGCGCAAGCGCAGAATTGCCCTCCGACGGGCTCTGCCCCCCCCCCCCAGGCAGCAGCTGCGCAGCCGCGCGATTTGCGCTGCGCCGGAGTCTCTGACCACCCCCCCCCGTCGTGCCACCACAGCGCACGCGCAAAACTCTGTCGCGCGCTGGAGCGTCCCTCGCTGCCCGCTGGCCATGGTACCCGGGCCTCAGTCCCCGCGCAGGCGTAGCAGTCATCCTCGGAGGAGGCGGGAGAGATGGTCCAGAGCGCGCTAGGACCGAGCGGCGTCCCGGCCCTTCCCAGAGTCTTCTAGGCCACCCGGCCGTCTAACTACGCTCCAGTCTCTTTCTTTTAGAGTAAGGGGAGGAAGGCGGCGCTTTGGGGAAGCGCTTCGTGTCCATGACAACTGCGTGGGTGGGGCGGGGGGCGTAAGGAAACAGCGTCGCCTCGTGTCATCCCCGCCCCTGCGCTAGGCCACTCGAGAACTGTTAACTACCTCTTACCCGCAGAGGCGGGGCGCCCTGGGGCTGTTCCGCCCTAGGCGGATGCGGTAACCATAGCAACCCAGCAACCTCCCCATCCAGCCTGGGTGGGGCCCCTCGGTCCACACCTTTCCATCGTGGCGCGGGGCGGGAGATCAGAAGGGAGAGTTTCCTACCGGGTAGGGAGAGTGATAGAGGCGCTGGCAGACTTTAAGCAGATGCGAAGAACACCGGTTGGGTGAACTGGATAGGAGGAAGATGGAGTTAAGTCTTGCTGAAAAATTTGTTGTTTAGCATCCTCCGGAGTCCTCAAGGTTATTCAACAAACGGTGCTTCATTCATCTATTCAACAGATATTTATGAACGCTTACACAGTTCCCGGTGCAATGAACATAAAAGGCAAAAATCCCGACCCTCATAGGGCTCACTTTTTAGTTGTGAAAAACAGACAAGAAACAGAATAAGACGTGCACGTGAGAAATTGATAAGGATCATAAAGAAAATGGAAGTAGGAAAGGGGGTTGAGGATGGAAGTGTGTGTGTGTGTGCATCTAATGATAAAATAAGGGGGACACCGGGGGAGGCCTCCCTGAGCAAGTGCAGCCGGAGATGGGACTGTGCCTGCTGTCTTCTAGGAACAGCCAGGAGGCCAGTGGGGCTGGAGTGGAGGGGGCCAGGGAGAGTAGAAGCCAGACGGTGCAGGGCCTTGTGGGTCTCTGGCACCTGAGCAGAGCAATGATGTGATCTGACTTTGGTTTCAATGGGGAGCTGACTTCAGGGAGTGAGGCTGGAAGCTGGGTGCCTAGTGAGGAGGAGACTACAGGGGTTCAGGTGAGAGGTGAGTTGAAATGGAATTGGATATGGGATGTGAGAAAAAGGGAGGAGTCGAGGATGACTCCAATGTGTTTGACATTGAGTAACGGGAATGGAACTGCCTGAATCGAGGCTGCAGGAGGATCACGAATTCAAGTTTGCCCAAACTTGAGATGCCCATCACTTAACCAAGTACACATGTTGGTAGGCAGTGGGATATTTGAGCCTGGACTTCAGGACAGAGGTCCAGTCTTGAGATACAAATTTGGGAGTTGTCAGTGCCTAAGTGCCATTTAAATCCATACGACTAGGAGAGGTTACAAAGGAGAGCAGATGTAGATAGAAAAGAGGTTCATGAGGCTGGGTACAGTGGCTCATGCCTGTAATCCCAGCGTTCCGGGAGGCTGAGGTGGGAGGATCACTTGAGGCCAGGAGTTCAAGACCAGCCTGAGCAACATAGTGAGACCCTGTCTCTACAAAAAATTAAAAATTTAGCTGGGTGTGATGTAGACACCCAGTCCACTCCCAGCAACTTGGGAGGCTGAGGTGGGAGGATTACTTGAGCCTAGAAGTCCAAGGTTGCAGTGAGCTATGATTGTGCCACTGCACTCTAGTCTGGGTGACAGAGTGAGACTCCGTCTCTTAAAAAAAAAAAAAAAAAGAAAGAAAAGAAATGAAAAGCAAAGAAGTCCACAGCTCCAGGCTGGGGCATTCCAATATAGACTGCTGGGGTAGGCATCAGCAACGGAGACTGAGCAAGAGCAGCCAGTGGAGTGGGAGGAGAATGGGGCCATGTGCTGGCCTGGAGGCCAACTGAAGGATGTCACCAAGGGGGAGGAAAAGACCAAATGCTGCCTAGAGGCCAAGTTCAATGAAGACCAAGAACTGATCTCTGGGGCTAGTCATATGGAAGTTATTAGTAATCTTGCAAAGAGCAATTTTTCCCCCAAACATCTCTTTGTGGGAGAGAAACAATTCAACCCATAATACCCATTGAGCACCTTGTGCTTACTTTATCCTAGCTGACCCTCTAACCCCACCTGGGACCAGGCACAGAGACCTGGGTGTCATTGAGACATCTCCCTTCCCAGGGGAGTCTGGGGACAGGGGGCATCCAGGATGCTGCTGGCTGCATGGGAGTCTGGGCTGAGGGGGCCTTGGGTCTCCATGTGCTCTGGAGGTTGTGAGAAGGCTGGGGCTGGGGACCCCAGGCAGAGGCATTCGGAGCTGTGTCTGTGACATTAAGAAACAAGTAATAAGCCCAGGCACAGTGGATCACACCTGTAATCCTAGCTCTCTGGGAGGCCAAGGTGGGTGGATTGCTCGAGGTCAGGAGTTCAAAACCACCCTGAGCAAGAGCAAGACCCCATCTCTACTATACATAGAAAGAAATTAATTGGTCAACTAATATATATAGAAAAAAATTAGCCGGGCATGGTGGTGGATGCTTGTAGTCCCAGCTACTCAGGAGGCTGAGGCAGAGGATCGCTTGAGCCCAGGAGTTTGAGGTTGCTGTGAGCTAGGCTGATGCCACAGCACTCACTCTAGCCTGGGCAACAAAGTGAGACTCTGTCTCAAAAAAAAAGAAAGAAAGAAACAAGTAATGTACTTGACAACCACCATTTGTCTTCTCTAGACCTCTCCTCTGGGCCCAGACCCAGGTGTCCAGCAGCCTCCTGGTCACTCCACCTTGGATGTCCCCAGGTCCTAGAGATCCTTCACATCCCAGACTGACCTCACTATCTTCCTGGTCTTGCTTTTTCATGTCTGAAGCTGCCTCCAGCCCATTCTAACCCTCCTGGATGCTGAGGACACTGGCCTGTTGCTCTCCACGCACTGCCTACACCTCGTGAGAGCTCCTTTTCCTTAATGCACTCCCTGCCATCTAGGGGGGCGGCGAGAGAGAGGCCACGTGCTTCCTGCCTGGTGCAGCCCCTTGCTGGGATTATAAAGGGGTGTCCTTCCCTCCAGGCAGACAGGGGAGCACACACGAGATTCTAGCCCCCACCTACTCTTGGGCTCGGTCCCCTTGTGCTGGGCTCACCCTAGCCTGTGGCACATGACAGCTCTGGACTTTTATTTTTCTACTGGATGGTTTAACTTGGGAGTCTCTGTTGTGGGCAGAGCTGCATTTTGGGGAAAGAAACTTGTGAGCAGGGTCTTTGGTTATCTAGGTAACTAACCTGTGTGTGTGAGGGGAGTCCATGGGTGGATTTTGGAGTCTTGAGAACACATGGTAAAGGTCAAGTTCTAGCACCAGGGTCTGCAGCATCCTCTACTGTCTGCCTGCCCTGCCCCGTCTGCCTCTCTGATCTCTCTTACTCAGCTGGATTCCTGCTTCTTCTGTGAACCTGCCATGGCCTTTGAACTTGCTCTCACCTCTGCCTGCAACGCCCTTCCTCCAGGTCCTCCCGGGTCTTCCCATTCCATTTGGACTCCGCTCCAGTGTCACTGCTACCTGACCACGCCGTATAAAACAGCGCCTCCATAAGGCTCATACTTGACAACATGTATTGATTGATTGATTGTCAGTCCCCCCTGCCACTAGAATGTCAGCTCCATGAGGGCAGGGACCACCTTACCCCCAGTGCCTAAAATAGTGCCTGGCACAAAGTAGGTGTTCGATGAATATTTCTGTAACAATGGAATAAAAGAAACCTGGATAGTATGGGCAACATTTAGTGCATGTATGTGTTTCCCTGGGGCGGGAGACCATATTTTCAACACCTCCCCAATGGGGTCTGAGAGCCCAAAGTCTAAGAACTACAACAAATCAGTCCTAGAAGACTCATGGTCCGCAGGGCAGGAGGACACATCCCACTCCTAACAGGGTAAGAAAAGGGAATCTGGGGTCAAGGCGGAGACTGGGGAAGCGCTTGGGAACCAGCCCACAGGCCGGAGGATGTTTGGAGGCAGGTTGGGAGAGGAATCCACGGCCCCTTCCGCCCCCCACCTCCCTCTTCCTGTGAGTTAGGGCAAACACAGCTCCCGGCTCCCTCCCTTCGGTGCCTCCTAGGTCAAAGCCACGTGAGAAGGCAAAAACAGATACAGTGATTGCAAAGACAACTAGAAACGCGCTTTATTTACCAGAGCTCAACACCGGGCCCCCAGCCCTGAGCCTAAAACCGAACAACTTAAAATCCGACTGGGGCTTTTCTTTTCTTTGCCCCTTACATAAAATCTAGGCCATTGCCCTGCCCCTTGGGGCACTCAAACCCCTTTCTTGTGGGAGCTTCATCAACTTAAATGTTAGAGGATTAAAAAAACGCAGGAGGAAAAAAACAAACGATCTTTAGCTAACTATCATGATTTGGAGTGGGGGACGGGAGGTGACGAAGAGATGAGTCCACCTCTCGCTGGGGGAAGGGACCCATGGGTGCTCTGGGGTGGGGGCAGGAGCAGGGTGCAATGGGCTGAACCGTGGGAAGAACCAGCAGTGGGCGTTGGAGGGTGTCAGCTCACAGCTCAGCCCCAGGCCTCCAACCCAGCTGAGCCTGCAAAGACACGGCACCCTCCACTGTGTCCCCCACCCCGCTCCTGACGGTCGGGGTGCTGAGGGCAGGGAAGAGGGAGCCAGGGTGGTCCCTGATGACACTGTGGGTCTGCAGGTGGCTGAAGAGGGTGGAGAATCTCAAGTGGGCATCCCATCTTGAAGTCCTTCTGTAGGCAGGTCTGAGCCAGCCTTGCTCCAGATTCTTGCACCGTGGAGTCCCAGAGGTCCAAGGATCCAAGGAATGGAGAGATCAAAGGAGCAGTGCTAGTGTCCCCAGCAGACCCGGGAAGTACTAGAGATCCATGAACAGTGGCCCTCAGGGTGCCACAGGGCTGTGCGGCAAAAGGAGCAGGGCTTCAAGGATGCACGACACCCACAGGCCAGACTCCAAGGGCTGGGAGGTCCAAGGGGCAGGGCGGGCCTGGCTCCCAGCAGCCTTCTCCATCTCAGGATCCAGCAAGGATGGAAGCTCTGGGGGCCAGAAATTGCAAAGGGCTGGGTGAGTCAAGGAGAGGGTTTAGGGACGTGGCGGGGACTGAGCCAGGAGGGGCAGGTGTGTGGGTGGCCAGCACCTCACGGTCCTCAGCGCTTGACCTTGCGTCCGGCCGAGTTGCGCCCGCTGCGGCGGTACAGGGACTGCTGGCCACCGTTGAGCGGGCAGTACTTGAGCGTGTGGGCCTGGCCGCCCGTGGCCCCGCACACGGGACACACGTAGTGCCTCAGGATGGGGCACACCACCACGCCCTCAGGTGTCTTCAGCTGGTGTGAGGAGTAGACGTGCCGGGACTCCCCGTTGTGCTTGCAGAAGTTGCACAGGGTGGCCGGGCCCCCGCCGGCCCCCGGGCCTCCCAGCCCCTGATCTCGCTCCAGCTGGGGTCTGGGACTCAGTTCCCCAATCCCTTGGGCCTCCAGCCTTGGCCTCCGACTCTGGATCAGCGCCAGGACCACCTGGCTCAGGTTGAAGTAGTCCCTCCACATGTCGAAGGGGGGCAGCTGCATGGCACCAAGGCAGGGGGGCGGGAGGCCGGAGAGGGGCTGGGGCTGGGGGCAGCAGGGCAAGAGCAGCAGGCATCTGCTGGAGCAGAAAGGAGCTGCACCCCCCTTTTATACTCCCCAGAGACTCCTCTAAGCAAAGGTGGAGCTTAGAATTTAAAGGGCCCACTCCTTGCCCTTGACCCCCATCTGATTCTAGCCCCCTACTAGAAATGGAAGGAGGTCATCCCCTGGTCTCTGGTCCCCACTCTGCCTCCAAGGTGCTCTGTGTTCCAGAAAGACTCTTCCACTCTCTGGGCCTCAGTTTCCCTATCTGTTCAAGGAAGATCCGTGTGTGCAAATATCCCCCACCCTAGGCTGGAGGGGCTGCTCCCTTCATATACTGCAGAGATTTCTGATAATAATAACAGCAAGGGTACTATGAGCCAGACTCTGTGCTGCACAGGTACCTGCACGATCTGATTTAATCCTCACAAAAGCTCCATGACAGAAACACAGTTTTGGTCCCATTTCATAGATGAGTAACTGAGGCTCAAAGAAGGAAGTCTATGGGCCCAGAGTCACATAGCATGGAAGTAGCAGAACTGGGTCTGTGGGACTCTAAAGCAAGTGTTCCTTCTACCTCTTTTGGATCAAAACTTTCTATTTCATCACATCCTAAACTAGGAGCTCCTTATTCAATAAATTATTTTTGGGTGCATACAACTATGGTGCCCAGTGTTTTATAAACACCTGATTTCTTCAAACTTCATATCCTCTCAAGAGGGTGGGTACTATAATTTCCATTTTACAGAGGAACGTATGAGGCTCAGAGATGTTAAGGAATGTACTCAAGGTCACACAGCAGAGAAATGGCAGAGCTAGGTTTCATACCCATTCTGGGAACTTTGAATGGAAGTTAGAAGCAGCATAGGATCTTGACATGGGCCAGTCTCACTTAGAATGCCCTCCCTTGGCCTCATCCATTGTCCCAAATCCTTCCTGGCCTTTGGGACCAAGCACGGAGTCTTCTCCCACCAATGGTCTACACTGGTTGCCTTGATACTCAACACATAGCCATTGAGGTCCCATGTTGGTTGCTGGAAATTCAGTGATCGAGGCTACCTCCTGCCAGCGTCCTAAGCAATGAGTCCCATGCCGGGTCAAAGACCTGATTACCTGTGAACAAAGTGTTCTGGGCGTGGCTGGGCTGGGCAATGTGGCCTGGAAGCCGAGACCATAAAGAAAACCTTCTAGAAAGAGGAACACAAGATATGGAGACCCTGAAGTTTGGGAACACAAAGGACCTGCCTGGACTGGCCACAATGGAGTCAGTGTCCCACTGTGAGGCCAACATGGTTTGCAGGGGCTGGGTGCCACCAGACAGGGTGGCTGTCCCTTAGGGCGTGTTTTGGAGTTGGTGGAGGTGCTTTGAGTTTGTCACAGTGACTGGGGGTGTGACTAGACCTGGTTGGGGATGCCAGGTACCTCAGCAGTCCACACAGCGAAGACCTGCCCTGAGCCCCACTTCACTTACCAATGACCCAATGACACCTGTGTAGGTAGAAAAACCCATTTATGATTATCCGAATCTAGAACCTAGCTGTGTTTTACATGGCAGCACTAAGTGCCTTTTGTGACATTTTAAGATAACACTCATTTTTCCTGGAATGCAATCACTGTGTTCATGGTGGCCTGCGAGTTCTTGAGTTTTGGGGGAACTTTATGTAGTAACTCACCATGTCTAGAAGCCACAACCCGTAGACAATGCTGATGGTGGTATCTGTCCCCAGACCACGCACTGTTTGTTCCTGTGTCATTCATGGCGAATCTACACAGAGAGGCTAGTGTCTGCCTCATGAGATGATTTTTGGAGTGGCCAGGCCTGAACATTTACACACTAAAATAGATGTTATTTTATTATCAATTGCTGTCTTTGTATTTTTCCTTTGTAGTTGAGTTAGGACGCGATGTTAATTTTTTTTTTTTGAGACAAAGTCTCACTTTGTTGCCCAGGCTAGAGTAGTGAGTGCTGTGGCGTCAGCCTAGCTCACAGCAACCTCAAACTCCTGGGCTCAAGTGATCCTCCTGCCTCAGCCTCCCGAGTAGCTGGGACGACAGGCATGGGCCATCATGCCCGGCTAATTTTTTGTATATATATTTTTAGTTGGCCAATTAATTTCTTTCTATTTATAGTAGAGACGGGGTCTCGCTCTTGCTCAGGCTGGTTTCGAACTCCTGACCTTGAGCAATCCACCTGCCCCGGCCTCCCAGATTGCTAGGATTACAGGCATGAGCCACCGCGCTCAGCCCCAGGACTCGATGTTAATTTTTGAAAATAAAATTCGTGTGTTGGGGGGCCGGACTGTATGACCTATGAATTTAATTTCAAGGTCCCAAACGGGCATTTCAAAATGGTGTCTAAAGTGGATGTTGGGTCCTACCTAAGGGGTTAAGATATAGGCCAAGGTCCACTTGTTGCACTTTCCCTTTAGAGCGAAAGGGAGCCACTGAAGGGTTTACGCAGGGGAGGGACATAATGGGAGCCGTGTTTTAGGAAGGTCCTCTGGCCGCTGTTGATGGAATGGGGGCACTGGGTCTGTCCCCTCATGTCACGTTGTCACTGTGTGGTCAGGAAGCAAACTGTTGAGAGCTCCCAGCTGGAAAAGGCTGTGTCTTACTTCCAGAAAGGCTTGATAAATGCCCACGGGGTGAATGTATTGTCTCTGTGGATGGGCTCATGGTCCTGAGGTGACAAAAGGAGGAATTTGTAACCGTCACCGGGAAGATCTCCTTGTGATGGGATTTCCCAGCTTTCTGTAACCTCCTCGTGCATTAGTGACTTGGATAGTGACTTGTGTGATGTCTGCATTCCCTGGTGATCTGTGAGCCCCCAGAGGTCAGGGCCAGGGCTGTCTTGGTCACCGATGTGTCCCCAGCATTGCCCAACATAGGGGCGGGCACACAGTAGGGGACATTAGCAGAACGAGTGAATGGAGAGGGGTAACTTGACTCTCCAGACAATGTGAAATCTCCTTGCTCTAAATGCCCAGAGACCAACAACACAACTCTCACATGCGTGGTTTCTGTGTCTTGAATGCTTATGATGTCCTTCCCTCCTACCAGCTCTAACGTCTCCTCCTCCAGGAAGCCCTCCCTGACTCCCAGGCTGGGCCAGCTGACTTCTCTGGGTGGCCCCATCCCAGCCTTGCTCACTCCGACTCATCATTGACTCAGGACAGGTCCTGTGAGCCCATGAGGGCAGGGCCTGGGCTGTTCTCACAAGGCCCTTTGTGTGCCTTGTGTCATTTGTCCCCCTGCTTCCTTAAGTACAGTCGGTCCTCTGTATCCTCGGGTTCCACATCCACAGATTCAAGCAACCACGGATTGAAGATGTAGTTAGGCCTAGGATGGTCGTGTCTGTGGTGGACATACACAGACTTTTCTCTTTCTTGTCATCATTCCTTAAACAGTACAGTATAGCAACTATTTACATAGCACTGACATTGTATTCGGCATCACGAGTAATCGAGAGATGATTTAAAGTTTATGGGAGGCCAGGCGCGGTGGCTCACGCCTGTAATCCTAGCACTCTGGGAGGCTGAGGCGGGTGGATCACTCAAGGTCAGGAGTTCGAAACCAGCCTGAGCAAGAGTGAGACCCCATCTCTACTAAAAAAAAAAAAATAGAAAGAAATTATTTGGCCAACTAAAAATATATAGAAAAAATTAGCTGGGCATGGTGGCACAGGCCTGTAGTCCCAGCTACTTGGGAGGCTGAGGCAGGAGGATCGCTGGAGCCCAGGAGTTTGAGGTTGCTGTGAGCTAGGCTGATGCCACAGCACTCTAGCCCAGGCAACAGAGCAAGACTCTGTCTCAAAAAATAAAATAAAATAATAAAGTTTATGGGAGATGTGTATTTTATTAATTTTATTTTTTAGAGATGGAGTCTCTCTCTGTCACCCAGGCTGGAGTGCAGTGGCATGCAATCATAGCTCACAGCAGCCTCAAACTTCTGTGCTCAAGCCATCCTCCTGCTTCAGCCTCCCGAGTCTAGTCTTGGGACTACAGGCCTGTGTCACCATGGCTGGCTAACTTTTTATTTTTAGAGAAGGGGTCTTGCTATGCTGCCCAGGCTAGTCTTAAAGTCCTGGCCTCAAGCGATCCTGCTACTTCAGCCTCTGGAGTAGCTGGGATTACAGGCACAAGCCACTGGGCCCCGCTAAGAGTCCCATTTTACAGATGAGCAAGGGGACACTCGGGAAGGTTCAGGGGCTTGTCCAGTGACGTGGACAGGAAGTGGTAGTCTGGAGCTCAAACCCAGGGCTGTCTGATCTAGACCCAGGACATCCTCCCACCCGCTGTGAGCCAAGAGCCTGCCTAAGTGGTCAACAGAAAACAGCAGTGCGTGGGAAGACTGGCCAGGTACAGGGACAGACTGAGGTGGGGAACCAGGGAGGAAGTGGGTATGTGAGTCACACAGCTTTTCACAGACAGAACAGATGAGACCTATCAGCCCATGACAGCCACACTCGGGGGCAGAAGGAACAGTGGTGGTAAGTGCTTTCTACGAAGTCTCAGATGTGACCTCAGCGTGGGCCTGGACCTGGTGACCTAGTGGCCGCAGCCGTGGCGCCTGTGGGACGTCTGAGAGTGATGTAAGGGACAGGCGGGGTTTCCAGGTCCCGCCACTCCCCTTAACAATTGCACCTATTGTTTGGAGAAGCCCAGATTCCATCCCTTGTGAGTCTGTTTTTTTCTCTTTAACATTTATTTTTACCCCCAATTGTTTTCTTCCAGGACTCTGTTATTTGGGCCACGGCTCCCCTTCCTCCCCCTCCCTGGGGCTCTATTGGATGAGTCAGTTGAAGGACGTCCCTCTTGGGACAAGCCCCCTTTCTGGGCTGTGGTTGCTGCCTTGGGAAAGGCAGAACGATACTGACGAGAAATTCATCAGCCCTGGTGTTTACTCCACCACAACGTCCACCCCCAGCCCAAGGCGGGACCCCTGTCTGCTAACGAGACTCCGAGGTGCCCTGTTTACTCGTGAG